GTGGAGTAAGGGTTGGTAGAGAGATAAAAATTGGTTTGGGGGGTAGGTCAGAGATTTGCGTCGCTTGGCTAGGGGTGTGTTGCGAAGTTAATGTTCGAGAGTTGTGATAATTGTTTTTTTATGTGTTTGTGGGGGGGGGGGGGGGGGGGGGGGGGCGATTGTTGGGTAAAGGATGGGAATTTGATCTCAAAGTTTTCTGACCCCCTAATTTTTCACCCCTCTAATTTCGGTAAGACTAGAGGTTAAATGTGTTTCATTGAAAGTAGCAACATACCAAGATTTTTAGAAACGTCATTTGTGTATTTTACCAATTATCTCAAAAATGCTGTCTTTATATAAACAGGTTCACCAGTTTTGTCAACTTACGTTTATATAAAAGCAACAGAATTTAATCTTTCTCAACTATATAGAGCACACCTTTAAAACAGTATCACATGTTGTTTTCCATTTTCATTAGTGCTGCATTATCTTTAATTGTGAACTTTTATGTCTGTGAACCTAGCAGTAGAGTTTTGTTTTTCACAGCCTTTCAGGTTTTCATTTTGCAGAAACCAATTTTTTTAAGGGTCATCACTTGAATGGATGTATTCATGAGAATAAAAGTAGTGAGGCTAAAAATAGATAACTTGTCCATTCTCCTCGACCGCGTGCTGTGTATAAAAAATATGGGTCCCAGAGATCCTTGTGGGAACAATGGCCGTCATCTTTTGGTTACAAATCCCCTGGGTAATGCAAATGGTAACCGACTGGTAACCATGTATTTTAGGGCGTCCCATCCAAGATGGCATCTGTGATCGGAGGAAATTCAAAACTCCCCACCTCCAGGACTTGGTAATAATCAAAAGTCCCCACCATGAGCCAGCTTCTTTTGTCTAATCCCTAGCCTTTGCCCAGCCTCTTCCCCCTCCAGATTAACATTGATAGGTGACAAATTACTTCTTAATTTTGGTGCAAAATGTCAGGGTTAATTTATGATTTCACATGTGAAATAACAAAATTGGTATGGCAATGTTCCATATGCCTCAATTTCAAGATGGCATCAAGGTTTTAGAATGTTAAGAATGAAGATGTCAGGGCATTAAAAGGCACTTTAGAAAAGAATAATTAATCTAAACACATAGGAGGATTCTCTTCTAAGAGGTATATTTTATTAATTTATTGAAAAATTTAGAAAATTTTGAACTTAAGCCAAAAGTTATTCACTAAACTTTTTAATGGGCAGATGGATGGGATAAAAAAATTGAGTATTTTGAGACTCCCAAATAAAGTTTTTATTTTATTTTCAAAATATAAACCAAAAGGGGGCCTAACATATTGACCACTCAGAGGCGGATCCAGGATTTTTTTTTAGGAGGGGGTGCACTCGTCTCTTGCTCTACTTCAACACCAATAAACCACATAGTTTTTTTTTGGCAGAATACCGGTTGTATTAGAAAACCACGGGTCATCGCAGGGAAGGGGGGGGGGGGTGCGCACCCCCTGCACCCTCCCCCTAGATCCGCCCCTGCCACTGCATGTAACTGTGACATACAACAATATTATTTGTTTCATTGTTTTGTTACAAGGCTGATATATGTGCAGAACTGTATGAGACCATCAGAAGTTATAGGGATGAAGAGGGCAGGATTCTTTGTGAATCTTTTATTCGTGCCCCAAAAAGAAGGTTTGTTGATTGCATCTTTTTATCAGCTCCATAATAATTATTTTACTTTAAGGTAGTGCAGATGAGTATTAAACAAAAAACAGAAAATTTCCTTGTATTTTTCATAATCACAGATTGCAGATTCAGGAAGGTTTTGCAAAAGGTTAAACTAGAATGTTTTTGTTAGTTTGTAACATAACTATTTTGTCTGCAAGTAAATTTTAGATCGTCAGTTTATAATATTAAATGTTACTGAGGCCTTCCTGATACATGTTTATTTCTCTGACTGTGGGTTTAGTTGTGCATTTTCAACATTGCTGTCTGAAATTTCCATCAAACAAGTAATTATTTTTACAGATGGTGCTTTTTTGTGTAAGTTCCTTTTTTATGGATCCATGCTTGCTTAAAGATATGTATTTTTCATTTTTTTATTGTTTAGGAACAGTCCAGAGTACTATGATGTCATTTCTACTCCAATAGATTTGTTGAAGATTCAGGTAAATTGAATGTTAAGACACTTGATTTTTCTTATAAGGTGCCAGGACAGTATGCTGTGATTGACAGAAAATCTATTTTCCAGAAGTTTTGATTTGGAAGGTCATGTTGACCTTTTTAATAATATTAATCTATGTTGATATTGNCCCCTAGATCCGCCCCTGCCACTGCATGTAACTGTGACATACAACAATATTATTTGTTTCATTGTTTTGTTACAAGGCTGATATATGTGCAGAACTGTATGAGACCATCAGAAGTTATAGGGATGAAGAGGGCAGGATTCTTTGTGAATCTTTTATTCGTGCCCCAAAAAGAAGGTTTGTTGATTGCATCTTTTTATCAGCTCCATAATAATTATTTTACTTTAAGGTAGTGCAGATGAGTATTAAACAAAAAACAGAAAATTTCCTTGTATTTTTCATAATCACAGATTGCAGATTCAGGAAGGTTTTGCAAAAGGTTAAACTAGAATGTTTTTGTTAGTTTGTAACATAACTATTTTGTCTGCAAGTAAATTTTAGATCGTCAGTTTATAATATTAAATGTTACTGAGGCCTTCCTGATACATGTTTATTTCTCTGACTATGGGTTTAGTTGTGCATTTTCAACATTGCTGTCTGAAATTTCCATCAAACAAGTAATTATTTTTACAGATGGTGCTTTTTTGTGTAAGTTCCTTTTTTATGGATCCATGCTTGCTTAAAGATATGTACTTTTCATTTTTTTATTGTGTAGGAACAGTCCAGAGTACTATGATGTCATTTCTACTCCAATAGATTTGTTGAAGATTCAGGTAAATTGAATGTTAAGACACTTGATTTTTCTTATAAGGTGCCAGGACAGTATGCTGTGATTGACAGAAAATCTATTTTCCAGAAGTTTTGATTTGGAAGGTCATGTTGACCTTTTTAATAATATTAATCTATGTTGATATTGCTTTTAATCAGCAACGGCTGAAAACAGATGAATATGAGGACATTGAGACATTCAGCACTGACGTGTATTTGCTGTTTGACAATGCTATCAAGTTCTATCAACCTGATGTACAAGAACACAAAGATGCTATTAAACTAAAAGAGGTGTATGAAGCTGCAAAAGCCAGGCTCTGTTCCCAGTTAGATGAACAAAGTATGTAGCTCGCATTGATCTGTTAATGCATATATGTACAGTTTTGTATAATAAGCTGATTTAGCAACTGACTGGGAACGTCATTTGACAACGGGAAAGTGCGTGGAAAAGACTAAACTCAACTTCTGTTGCCCAATTTGCTGCTCTACTATTGGCCAAGCGAGTTGTTTGATTTGCGTGCGCCGTCATCAACTGATGTTCCTTCTGTTGCTAAATCAGCCTAATGAGGCTAGAGAAAAAATAATTGAGTTTGAAGGTATTTTCATATGGTGATTGAAAATTTTTTTGCAAGGATGTAGCTAACGAAAAGCCAAATATGCTTGGTTATTACTCTATCTGGCTTTTTACATTCATCTTTAAAAATTACTGTATTTCTTCACCTATAAGCCAAGTGGTTTTTTCAGTTTTTGACGCAATAACAGGGCTCGACTTTCGGAAAAAAATCTTGGGGCCAGCTGGCCTCTTAAGTTTTCATTTTTGGTCGCCAGGACAAGTATTCTAGTCGCCAAAAATTATCTTCAAGAAAAAATAGCATACGAAATACTTAAGGTCTTTTTAACCTCAACAAAATCGTCAATAAGTTACCTTCCACAAAACAGGCTACATAACCCCTACAATGGCACTTGTTATAAAATTCATTTTTACGTATTTATGTATTCCGTTACCGTTAAACTAACGGATAGTTAACGGCTTTTCTAACGCTCTAACGGCTTGTTCCAACGCTCTAACGATTTGTTCTAACGGATTTCTAGATTGCGGACTCGATTGCAGATTAGTCTGATAAAAACTTAAGAGAACAAACGTCTATCTCGGGCTTCTTGTAAACTACTTTTTTATGCAAATTTATGTTGACATTTGAGCCCTTCGGGACAAAGCGTTGCGTGACGACCCAAGTGAGAGCTTTGCTGCATTTTATTGACTTCTAATAAAGTATCGTTGAAGTCAGACTTTTTGAACAGACTTCTCGCCAAATCAACTTTTGCCCGAAAATATTGAAGATCTGTTTCTTCTTTGTGGAGGAGACTTTCGATCACGTGCTAGGCAACAAGATAGATCATGTTTCACTGATGTTCATTTCTGAACGTCAATGCAAATATGGAACGCAAAGCGAATGTTTGAAGATTTGTTCTTTCATAGCCCAAATGAGTTTTTTTCTAATACAAAAAATTTGTTTAACTGCAAGTGTATTTCATTTCCTGAAGCTTGAATAACTGTTTGAGGAAATTTACGCTTCAGTATTTACCTTAAGAGATTTTGGACGCCTCCCGCAGGTATGTGAGTTCTTCGACCGATGCTGTACGATGCGAACGGACATTAAAACGGGCAAAAATCGTGCGAAAGGAAGCCTTGAAACATCGGTTACAAGCTCTTACAGAATAATTTTTCTAAAGCGATGGTGTTACAGACTTACTAAAAGACAGTCTCCGTTGCCCGTTGGAACTTCTTCAACAGTGTATTTCAGTAGAAGATCGACGGATACAACTAATGATCTAACGGATACGGATGAGTTGCTAGCCTAAAGACTGAATTGCCAAACGCCTTTCATTGATCTGTCTAACGGATGACTAATTGCCTGCGTGCAGACGTCTCCTATTTCCTTTGTTGCACGTGGAAAAGGGACGACGTCCCTTTTCCGCGTGCAACAAAGGAAATAGGAGACGTCTGCACGCAGGCAAATGACTAACGGATAGCTAACGGTCTAACCGTTTAACGGAATATCGTTAGTGTACATTTTCCCAAAGAAGGTCACAAATATCATGGGGGCCAGCCTGGCGACCAGGCGTGAAAAGTTCGTCGCCACTAAATAAAATCAAGTCGCATTGGCGACCCCAGGGGTCGCAACGTCGAGCCCTGAATAAATACAGTTGCTGGTTGCATGGTAGTATTAATACACTTCATTGGATCAATTGATATTCACATCTCTTCATGGGTTTGCTTTTTTTCTTTTGTGTGTTTTTTTTTAAAAATTTATTAGGTTTTGTGTTTAGTGAGGTTAGGTTCAGCTTATATCCGACGGGTTTACCTTTTTTTGGTAGCATGAGTCCATTGGAAGGTGTCTCAGCTGATAGCTGAGGGTACATACCCCAAATGATGTCTTTGTTTTCCAGTGCAATTTGCACTTGGTCTTGCAGTAAGGTCAAAATCTTCCGCTGTAGGGTCAGAGGTAATTAACCTTTGACAAATGGGATGGTTAAAACTTACAGCTTTTTTCTTTTTTGTTTTGCTCCAGGAGGAGGCAGGGGAATGTCATATGAGGAAAGCATGGTACAGTTGATGCTGTTTATTTTAAGTCAAAACAAGAGCACTCTTAAAAAAGTGTTAAGTCAAGCTTGTTGCTTGGAGATTAGATAAGAAATAAGGAGGCGTTTAATTTTACACAAAGCAGGATTTTTTCACTAAAAGTTTTTCACATCCTACTTTATCGACGGTTGAGTATTCTTCAGGATATTTACTTTTACATGGTATTCCATGATTTGTTTCTGAATTGATATAGTATGGCTGTATAATTTCACGAAATTCAAGGGCCTCGATTCAAGAGAAATTGCATCATTCTTAAGGAGCAAAAACGTGATGAACATGATGGGTCATTTCAATCTTCACCGGGAAAAAACTGCATGTTCATCACAAGACTCATTTGCCTACAATGAACAAAGTTTACAACACCCGACCAGTTAGCCTCACCATCTTAGTTTTGCTGAACTTTTGCTCATAAAGATTTTTTTTCTCCACCACTGAAGTACTCAATTGTTCTAAAGTAGTCAACACTTTCAAGCGATAGAATTCGTGGACCGACCCATTCCAGAAAAGCTCGACATCTTTCGAATAATATTTTGTAGTTCACGTCGCAATATTTATGTCCAGTTTCCACAGTCTCCGCTAGGAACGCCTGGAACCATGTCTTTTCTTTTGACGCCCACACGCAAAAAAAGAGAAATGTTTACATTTCAGAGTCTTGCTGCTAAAGCAAGCTAGACTAGGGAGTTTTATGGAAATGGTCTCTCTTCATTAGTGAACAATAAGAAATTAAAAAGCAACTGAAATTGAAAGTTGAAGACATAGTCAGAAAGTACTGGTAACATATTAAATATTATTGAGCTTAGAAATAGTACATTACCTGATGAGGCAGGGGCATAGCTACCTGTATGCATGATATACACGTGCATGCCTGAAAAAGTCAAGGGTAAAAAAAATTAAATGAAATAAAATAAAATAAAAGAGAGAATAATTTAAAAAAGAAAGTGTAAAAATTAAAACAACATCAACAACAATGTAAATTGCCTCAATTCCGTTTAACTCTATTTGATTCTTTGGAGTATTTTTCCTTAAACAACGGACTGTTTGTTTTTTTGACACCCGAAAGTTGGTTTTCAAAACAAAAGACTCTTTTCCACAACATCAGAAAGTCGGTTTTCATTTGAACCTTGAATGATATACTTAAAGATGCATGCAGACAGCAAGCGGGATGGTATAAAACAAGTTATTTCACCCAGGCCTGTCTTTGCAGGAGACAAAGGAGAGCATGATTATGTCCATGTGAGTGCTTCTGCCAGTCAAATTTGGAGTTGGAGGGGGAGGGAGATTTGGAAAATTGTGCATACCTCTGAAAAAATCCCGGCTATGCCCCTGTAAGGCCACATGTAGTAATACTAACATACATTTCATTGTGTTAATATTTTCATTGTTAGCTTGAGTGGGTACAAATAAAGTTTCAAATGCTGCCTGTTTTAGGAGCTGCTCTGCTCATTTTTTCCTTAGTACACGTACTTGGGGTACTATTTTTTTTAACCAAATCGTGTATTATAACATTTCATAGGGGTGTTCGTACGAACGTACTATTTGCCGTGGGAACGTACTAGAGTAGCAGTCACACATTTCATAGGTCATTGCTGTACGAACGTACTTAATTGGCCATAGAAATGTACTAGACTAACAGTCGTGTGTCATAACAAAGTAGTGGGAAAGTAACCTCTGGAACTAAGTACGTTTTGGTGAGGCGTACGAAAAGAAAAAGGACAAACATGCATTCCTGTTCTGTGCATTAAAGATTGTTGTTGCTGGAAAGTTGTTGTTGTTGTTGTGCTTACTTATCAGTGCTTAAGATGTGCCAGAGTTTTCTAAGCTCAAAAGTTTTGACAGACGTTGAGAGTTGGGAAATTGTCCTCTTGTTTGAACCAAATGCCAGTTGCTTAGATGGTGTATCTAGTAATTCACTTCTTTAAACCTTTAGATGAAAATGCATGGCACCTTTGGTGCCATTGTCCAGAGTAGACTCTAAACAGTGTCAAAAATTTATAATTGCAGGAAGATGATGATGATGATGAGGAGAATGAGGATGAAGGTGATGATGCTGATAGTGTGAGAGGTGATAAGACTGTTAAAGGAACAAGTCTTGGGAAAAGTACAAGTGCAGAGAGAAAGCAAGCTTCTTTTTCTGTAGCGGCAGCGGGTGAGTGGTGATTACTGTGTCTATATCATTCACAGTAATCCTTAAAGTGGAAAGCATGTGGGCCTAATAGATAGTGTGCTGGACTCCAGATTACCGGTAAGAGAGTAGGGTCACTGTAAATTCTGCTTGGGCAAGACACTTTACTGTTACAGTGCCTCAGTCCACCCACACCTTGATTTTGTTAAAAACGTTGGATAGCACTATCCACCGGATAAATCAAGGGAAACATAATTCAATTCATAAGGGAAAGCAAGGTCATTGCATTATCGACGGGTAAGAGATTTATCTGATGAATAGTGTTATCCATTTCAAAAGCAGGTGAACGTAGTCCTGGATAGGACTGAAGTTGTTAGTCATCTTGAGAGTCAGGACTCTGAAGATGACTACCGCACAGGTTGTCGAAACGTCAGTCACTGTCAACAACAACAGTCCTATTCAGGACTATGTTCACCCAGACAATCAAACTCAACCTACTTTTGAAATGACTCCTGGGTTCAAACCTTTCACAGTGTTATCCATCTTTTGAACAACTGGGGCCAGGTGTATGAATAGATATGGGCAGAATTAGCCCTAGCGGGTAACCTTTTTGATGGACTGGCATTCCTTCCAGAGGGGAGTAGAATCATTCCTAGTCACTTTGTGTTACACATGCACTTGAGCTTTTTATGAGAGACCAGTAGCTATTGTCTGTCATAAGTAATCTATGTATTGGTATCTGTAACAAGGTCATTAGTTTCAACCACAACCATTTTTCTTGTCCTTTATTTTCTGTTTAGATGATGATGATGATAATGAGTCTACCTCCACTCGAGATGATGAAGAGGGTGATTCTGTTTCTAATGTTCTGCTTTATTGTGGTGAGCTTATTAGTGCAGTGCTGGAGATGAAGGACAGCCATGGACGAGTTATCTGCCAACTTTTTAAAAAGATACCACCGCAAAGTGTAAGTTCTAAAAAATGTTGTGCCTTGAACAGAATAGACATCTGAGTAAGTGGTCCCTATAAAAGTATTTGAATTACGGGAACACATGTAAGATTTTTTTAAAGATTTTTGCATTGTAGATTTTTCCGAAACCTCAACTTGTTTCTTCTTTGTTGGGATTACAGTAAGGTTAAAATGACTCCATAAGTAATGTTTTGACTTGCTTGGCTGACCTTCTCCAGGAAAGTTTGTTTTTCCTGAAGAAGGGCGGGGCACTAAAAAGTGGTGTCCCATAACCCAGAGCTCCAATGGTAGTAGGGTAACCCGTTGGGCTACATGTAGCATGTTTCAATTACGAATTGTCTGATGGGAAAGCAACATTTCCCAAAATAAAATAAAAATGTTAAGGGATTTGGCAGGCCTGCACAACTGCTCAGGGCTAGTAAAACTTCAGCAACAGTAATAATTTTTTAATTTCTTTTCTCCTTGAAGAGAATCAAAGTAGTCAATGTGTTGATTTGGAGTTGTTTTTACCTCAGTGTAATCCCAAAAAAGAAAAAAAATCTTTAATTTTGGAAATGAGAGTTGGAACTTTCCAAGATACAGTTGACAGTTGTCTGTCACATGCTTGAAAAAGGCTCCGCTGACATAGTTTGGTAAAGCACAACTACATGATATGTATGTAGTGATACTTTGGTATGGATGTAAAGATATACATACACTTCACACTTTGTTTTGCGTTGACATTTTTCTGGATGATAAGAAACTGAAGAGCTGGATGGGAGTAACTGTGTTTTTTTCTATTAACAGCTTTATCCAGAATATTATGAAATCATCAAAGAACCTATTGACTTGAAAACAGTGTGCACAAAACTAAGGGTAAGTTAATGAAATTACTTATGAAGAAGTTAATTGATGTCTTAAGGAAATTTAAGTGTCATTTTGGTATCATTTTAAGCATGTTGTTTCTCTTTCTTGCTAGGCCATGCAACTATGTACACCATGTGGCTACTAATAAAAAAGATTTTTGTCTGGTGGTTGTATAAATAGTTTGTACATACAATAATAATTATTATTATTGTATGTATAGTATTGCACTGAAATTTCAGGTGTGGGAAAATCGCCCTTGTGTGTGATAATAGAATATCAGATTTTTTCAATCACTCCTGAACTTCAACTACAGTACTTTGTCATGTAATACAGAGTAGACGTGTGCATGGATTCTTTCTAACATTTTAAATATTCGAAGACATGGGAAAGGTTCATAGTAGATGTTCAATCAAACTTAAAATGTTTATTTGTGTTGGATGTGCTTCTAAACAACATTATTGTCAACCAGTGATGATACAAATCATGGAATATTGAGTAGAATGTGTTTTGTTTTCAGAATAACCAATACACTTCTCTAGAGGAAGCTGAGAGAGACTTGCTGTTAATGGTAAAAAATGCCCATGCCTTCAATGAACCAGGCTCTCAAGTCTACAAGGTTTGTTATTATAGATAAATTTGTTATTCAGAATTCCACTTTCTGACAAGATAAGAAAATAATAGTATTACTGTTTTATGCAGAGTGAAAGAGATATACAGATTGCTGTACATGTACATCTTATACAAGCTGTGTACTTGCATTAATGGTACACATAATGTCTGTAACAGGTTCCTTATATGCTTGTACATCTATGTTTAGTTCACTACCGTACATTTTTGGCCATAATAAATTATATTTTTTCACCCAGTAAAGCAAATTGCTATCCTCATCACTTTGAAATGAAAGCTGGTAGAATGACAGTGAAAAAGTCTCTAGAGATGAAACTCTTTCTCACCAACTGTTTTTTTTCAGGATGCAACTGCTATAAAGAAGACTATTCATACAAAGAAAGCTGAGATAGATCATGTACTAATGGGTGCCAAGTCAAGCAAAAGATTGAAGTAAGTTTGTATTTACATTTGATTTAACTCTAAGGCTGCAGAATTGTTGTCGCCTGTATGTGGTATCCACTTTTCTGCCATTACCTATCCACCCTTGCTTTTTTCTTACTCTTATAAGAGTGCCGAGTGTCAGGTCGGGCACCATGCAGCTTGTTGCAGGTCTTATGAATCCCCCTTCCTCATCCATTGGTGACTTGACTTCTAGGGTAACTGATCTAATTATTTCATTTGTAGAGCACGTCGTAGTTCTGGTAAAATGAGCACAGCTGTAACAGCACTGTTAAATGAAATAGAAGAATATGGAGAAGAGGGTCTTGACATGCCACAAGAAGAAGCTGAGTTTTACCCAGATGACAGTGTACATGGTCAGTTCATTTATCCTACACTCCTCTCTGCAGTACCACTGATTCTTAGGCAGAAGCATGGGGTTATAGAGAGGATCTATTGTCTTGATTATTTTCAATTTTTCCTTTAAATTTTTTTATATTAATGTCTTACTTTGTGTTACTTTTAGGAGATGAAGAAAGTGTTGGAGGTGCAGATTCAGACAATCCTCTGATGATGTTATTCAATGAAGTACACCACTTCACTGATCCAACTGGGCGGGCTTTGTCAGAACCTTTTCTCAGATTGCCATCTAGGAGGTTTGGTTTCTTTTTTTTTTTCGTTACAATATACAGAATTTTTTAAATCTGATTACACATATTTTTGTAAGTATTTCACCTTTATGCAAAACCAATGCAAAGTAAGATTAAAATCAAACCAGTGAACTACAATGTAGCTATTGTCACACACATCTGATCTAATATGGTTATCAGAGTCCCCTAATTGTTGAATTTTGCAGGTGATGTTATCTCTTTCACTTGCTAACTATTAAACTTTATTCCCTGATCTATCTTATTTTTATGTTCAACTCAGAGCATACCCTGATTATTATGAAGTCATCAAGCAGCCTATTGCCTTATCCAAAATCAGGTCTCAGATAAAGGTAAGAAAAATCAAACCATAGCTGCCAGTTACAGTTTGTAGGACAGCCCTGAAACCAAAGAAGGTTATTTACTGTTTACATATACCATGCGTTTATCTTTAGACTGGCCAGTATGAAAGCCTTGAAGAATTGGAGAAAGATATGGATTTGTGCTTTCAAAATGCCCAAACGTACAATGAACCCAACTCAATGCTTTACAAGGTATAATATTAACTGCGTAAAATTTTGTCTTATTATAAAACTTGAAATGTTTTTTTGTCTTCCAAATAATTAGTGCTACAATAACTCTGAGGTATACATTCTTAGTACATATTTAGTAATTCTGTGCATTGTTTAAGTGTTCTCTCCCCACCCCTCCCCCTCCTCTCCACCATAGTCTATTCTCCCACCCAATTTGTAACCTTGATTTTGTTTTACAGGATGCTCATAGAATGCAAGAACACATGAAGAAAAAGAAAGTAGAAGTGGTGAAATACATGGAAGAGAAAGGAATTTCATTGGAGGAATACAAGGTAGTGATTTTAAAGCGTCTTTATACCACTGTCTTGTAGTGATGCCAACTGTCAAGTGATAGTCTAGTGGTTTTGAAGACAAGAAAATGCAGATGAAGAGTTTAGAAAATGAAAGAGAATAAGGGTTTGTCAATGTCACTGTCACACAGATGAAGTGAAAGCCCTCAGAGGGTGGTTACTTGCATGGTTCTCTTGAAAAATAGTATACTGTAAGCTAAAAATAATATCACTGAATTTTTCTGCTGTGGTTATAACAAGTAATTTTGTCTCATAAGTGATTACGTTTAACTGATAAAGGAAAAATGTCTGTACTGTTCCCTTTTTTCATGTTTATTTTAGAGAAAAAAGAAACCCAAAAAAATGGAAACTGAACCATCAGCTGCAAAAGAGGAAGCTAGTGCCAGTGTTGTTTACAGAAAACCAAAAACTGAAGTCAGAAAACCCAAGAAGAGCAAAAAGACAGAAGAAGTTGATCCTATTGTGCTGAGGAAGAGGATGCGCCAGCTTTATAAAGCTGTGGTAAACTATCAGGTAATATGAAACACATGTCAGCTTTATAATTTGGTTTCTCTGTCAGTAGCTCACTTATCATTATTGCATGGTTAATTGCTTCTGAACAGGGCTGTCACTAATATTTCAAGTTGTCTGATATAATTATGCATTTAGTAGGCAGGACATTGAACAGCTAGAAAGTTCCTTAATTGGTTCTACATAGTTTTCAATATTTCCTTTTTTTCTCAGTGGTCTGAACATATCTATCTTTGTAGTTTTGTGGCTTTGTGTGTTCGTATCTGTGTTGTAGGGTGATGGGCCAGTAAGCTTAAGGTTGGAGGTACTATGAGTTGATGCTAGGAACCAATGAGAATGTGGCATCTAAACATAATATTTCTAAAGGTCAAACAAATGCACTTTGAGACTGCCTTTTTGGTTCTTCACAATTTTTTTGTCTTTTATTACAGCTAAAGGTGTTTACAGGCATAACATTTAAATATCTTTATGATTCAAACACTGAGTACAATGATACAGATGTTTAAGAGTTTATATTTTAGTATGGGTGCTGCTTCAAGACATTTATAACCTAGTTCGGCTTTCTCGAACGGTACAACGTATGTACTTTGTTTCAGATTGAAAATCGCAAATCATGTAGTCTGAAGCCAGTGGCACATGTGTATCTGATTTAGGATGAAAAGGGTAGATTCTTGGTCGGGTTACACTGAGGCTTTCAAAATAGCTCATGTGTACTGAACATGCCTAGTATGTTGCTCTTTATGAAAGTAGCTGGGGGTCATGTTTATAGGAGCCAGGGGAGCCCCCAGCCCTTACTGACATCCCTGAGGAACAATGCAAATGGCAATTAATAAAGAAACCCTTTAAATCCTTGTAGGATGAAAACGGAAGATACCTTTCGGCAATATTTGTGGAACTTCCCTCAGCACAGGTTTGGTGCTTTTCAGTTGTGTTTTTATACGTAGCCTATCTGTAGCTGTTTGAAACTAACCGCTGAAAGTGAAACATTGGTGGTGACTTATTTATACGACCATGTTCTTTAACTAGGATTACCCAGATTACTATCAAGTGATATCTGAACCTGTTTGCTTGAGCCAGATTGAGAACAACATCAGAGATAACAAGGTAATTGATTGTTATGCTGTGGGATCTACAGTAGCTTGAGAAAACAGCCGACATTTGGTGATGCTACCACTGGTTTCCCTGCCAAATGACTTCTGAGAAATGAGCGCTGAAATTCCATACTGATGACGCGTCACTACCCAGATCTGGGTGGTGCTTCTGATTGTTAGCGGGATGGGAAATTTGATTCAACTAATCAGAAGCACTACCCAGAACTGGGTAATAATGCGTCATCAGTATGGAATTCCTGCACTCGTCTCTGAGACGTCATTTGGCGGAGAAACCAGTGGTAGCATTGCCAAATGTCAGCTGTTTTCTCAGGCTAGATCTACGTATATATAAGTATGAATTCATGCCTACTATAGATATTTTTAAGGGAATAAAGTGGACAAATCTTTACATGTAGATGTGCTTCATTTGTAGCTTTGAACAATTTTTACATTCATGTGGACCTTGATAATGAAACAAAAAAAATTCTTGTTTAGAAAATTTTAAACACTCTGTTAGATTTTATGCATTGTAATTGTTTAAGTGCTATTAGTAGTTTTGAATCCTCTTTTAGCTTTTGTATTTTTAATTCTTTGTTATTTAATTAGTTTTTATTACTTTTAAATTTTTCACACGACCACATCAGCATTGCTGTAATCTTATTGTGTATAAATAAATGCTTTACTTACTTACTTACGTACCTATTACATCCAGATTTATGATAGTCATCATTATGATCCTTAATAGTTTAGGGCTGGATAACATTCACTTGCCTCTTGTTTTGTGAACTTATAACAACGACACAATGGTTTTTTTATTTTTTTTATTTCTGTATTCATTGCCACAGTATTCTGGTGAGGAGGATCTGATGCTAGATTTTGAAGTTATGTTTGACAATGCCAGATATTATAATGAAGAGGCTTCTCAAGTCTTCCAGGTTCAGTCCTCATCTTACTGATTCTTTTACTTTAAATTTTCATTATTGTTATTGCTTGTGGAAAGTCCACTGCTAGGTAACTCTACCTATTTTGATAAATGAGCTTTAAGTGCTAATGTCATCCTCCCAAAGTCTTGGTTTTCCTTTCACAAGAGAAAAACATAACTAGGTATTGATCATGCTGTTTACACATTTTTGGACATTAATTTCATGCTATTCAAGACATATGTTGTTTTAAATTCTGTAAAATGTTATAAAGTAATAGTAAAAAATTATTATGAAGATGGTAAATGATGGTGCCAAATATCTGGAAACTTTGGTTGTGGAATTGTTATCCTATTGCAGGTCTGATCTTTTGTCTTGTGTTATATAGGATGCCTGTACTCTGGAGAAAGTGTTGAGGAAGAAAAGAAAATCACTTGGTCCAGTTTACCCAGGTTTTTATACATTAGAACATTATCTGATTATGTGTATGTCTGTCAATATCATAACATTTCCCTTGTAAACTGGGTTATTCTTGATTATTTGCTGACTGGGGATCTGTCATGTAATTGACGTGGGTTTTCAACAGTTACTTCTGCAGAAGGAGGTACATCAGCTGGTCAGGCAGTACCTGCCAAACAAGCAACGCCCACAAAGTCTGGCAGAATATCGTAAGTTGCACCTACCTTACATTAGGTTTTGTTCATTACTTGCATGGGGGAAACTGGAGATAATTTCTGAAAAATGCTAAAAGTAATATGGTTTGTTCCATTCCATTTGGGAAGGTTATGTAAGCAGTTTGTTCTCCCCTTAGGTCAAGTTTAAAAATTTGTCAGACACTAACTGACTGATTGTTTGATTATTTGATTGTTTGATTTTTTTTCTTATAGCACATCATTCATTTTGAAAAGTTATTGTCAGGTTATATAACTTAATGATTGTCTTGTCAAGTGCAAATTTGAGGGTAGTGTTAGACTCAAGTGCAAAGGAAGTGATGTTGTAATTTGCGCCAGACAATGGTCAGTGGGAACAGACTGCCTTCTGTTTAATACCACTCCACTTGACTGAAGACTGTTACTACTTATCTGATCCTCTTGCGCAAACATTTCTAAATGCCTTTACTGTGTTTATTACTGGTAAGAGTCACATTGAAGAAGAATCCAGCGCAGCAAATTTTTGTTGTATAAACATATCCACCCAAGCCCACTATTGTAGGTCTACATTGTTATCATGTTGGAAACTTTTTGTAGATCTTCACCTGTGTCAGCTAAGAAGTACAGCCATGTACCATCAGCAACAAATGAGTTAAAAGAGCTCTGTCGAGAACTGTTTAATGCTGTTAAAGACTGCACTGTAAGTTATTTTAGTTTGTTGGAATCATTGTTTTCCTTATCATCAATGATTGGGGTTATCAAGCAAATATTTTTACCTCAGAAAATTGCATTAAAGCATTCCCTTCAGATGGTTACATTAATTATTTTAGTGTGTTAGTAAATGTTACAGGTACATTGTACAGTGTCTAGATCTCTTAACTTAATATGCTTGTTATGATATGTTGCTGTTGTTTTTACTCTTAGGACAGCCATGGAAGACAACTTTGTCTCATTTTCCAGAAGCTGCCTTCAAGAGCGGTGAGTAAACTGGGAAATGTAATTTGTCAGGGAATAAATGAACAACTCACTTTTGTGCTGGATCCCAGGGCTGTCAAAACGTTTTTAAGTGGCAAGCTGATGATGAATAGTAGGCAGCTTTGGAACTCGCACCAAAGGCACAAGTTCTTGAGGGCCAAAGCATCTACGGACATTTTGGAATTAAGAGTCTTGGAAATGCCATTTCCAGGGGTTTGAAGACATATTTCTCCACCACGGATGATATGTTGCTTCGTCAGAATACACGTAAGACTGGGAACAATGCCATCAAAATGTCCCAGGCGTTTCACAACACCACATGGTTCGAAAGTTTCACAGATCAAACCCTGTTTAATTATGCACTCAATTCATTCATCATCATTATTCAATGGTACTTTTTTTGTTAGCAGTGATGGTAGAAGGAGATGAAAGTAGCTGGCTAAGGATAACTAACTAGCCAGCGGTTTTGGCTGGCTACCGGCCCTTAATGACAGCCCTGGGATCCTCAGAACTTGGGTGATTAAACTTAAAGTAATATAGCTTCCTTATCAGGCAAGGAGATTTTCCTTTCAGTTAATGACTACAATTTTTGTGTTTTATTTATTTATTTATTTATTTATTTTTTTCAGGAATACCCAGACTATTACACACTGATAAAGAAGCCTATAGACATGTCCAAGATAAACACTAAACTGTATGGAGATCAGTACCAGACCTTGGATGATTTCATGTCAGACTTTCAGCTCATGTTTGATAATGCTTGTCGATATAATGAGCCTGACTCACAGGTTTATAAGGTACAGTGCTCAGTTCATATAATATTGTGACTATCTTGTTTTCCAAAATAAGACTGAAAACTTTTTACACAATTTTTTTGGGAGCAAGGGTGGCACAGTGGTGACAGTCCTCCCACCTTTGGTTCGAATCCAGGGGTCAACACCAAATGTGCTCCCAGAGGTTTTTCTTGGGGTACTCCGATTTTTCCACTCTCCTTAAACACCAACCCTTTAAAAATAATTCCAATTCGATCTAGAACACAGACAAATTTCAACGAAATCTCAAGGACTCCTAACTGCTCCATTGGTAAACAAATTGCAACAGGGGAACACATATCACTAAGAATATGTGTTTCCCAGGTAGGGAAACACATATCACTAAGGATATGTGTTTCCCTGCTGGGGGAACACATATCACTAGGGATATGTGTTTCCCTGGGTGGGGGAACACACATCACTAGGGATATGTGTTTCCCACGTAGGGGAACCCATATCACTAGGGATATGTGTTTCCCAGGTGGGGGAACACATATCCCTAGGGATATTTGTTTCCCAGGTGGGGGAACCCATATCACTAGGGATATGTGTTTCCCACGTAGGGAAAAACATATCACTAGGGATAAGTGTTTCCCAGGTGGGGAAACACATATCACTAGGGATATGTGTTTCCCTCGTGGGGGAACACATATCACCAGGGATATGTGTTTTCCAAGTGGGGGTTCACATATCACTAGGGATATGTGTTTCCCAGGTGGGGGAACACATATCACTAGGGATATGTGTTTCCCAGGTGGGGGAACACATATCACTAGGGATATGTGTTTCCCAGGTGGGGGAACACATATCACTAGGGATATGTGTTTCCCAGGTGGGGGAACACATATCACTAGGGATATGTGTTTCCCAGGTGGGGGAACACATATCACTAGGGATATGTGTTTCCCAGGTGGGGGAACACATATCACTAGGGATATGTGTTTCCCAGGTGGGGGAACACATATCACTAGGGATATGTGTTTCCCAGGTGGGGGAACACATATCACTAGGGATATGTGTTTCCCAGGTGGGGGAACACATATCACTAGGGATATGTGTTTCCCAGGTGGGGGAACACATATCACTAGGGATATGTGTTTCCCAGGTGGGGGAACACATATCACTAGGGATATGTGTTTCCCAGGTGGGGGAACACATATCACTAGGGATATGTGTTTCCCAGGTGGGGGAACACATATCACTAGGGATATGTGTTTCCCAGGTGGGGGAACACATATCACTAGGGATATGTGTTTCCCAGGTGGGGGAACACATATCACTAGGGATATGTGTTTCCCAGGTGGGGGAACACATATCACTAGGGATATGTGTTTCCCAGGTGGGGGAACACATATCACTAGGGATATGTGTTTCCCAGGTGGGGGAACACATATCACTAGGGATATGTGTTTCCCAGGTGGGGGAACACATATCACTAGGGATATGTGTTTCCCAGGTGGGGGAACACATATCACTAGGGATAAGTGTTTCCCAGGTGGGGAAACACATATCACTAGGGATATGTGTTTCTCAGGTGGGGGAACACATATCACTAGGGATATGTGTTTCCCAGGTGGGGGAACACATATCACTAGGGATATGTGTTTCCCAGGTGGGGGAATAGAATATCGTTCTGGAATATCGTTAAAGACATTTTCCTGGCCTATATTGCCTAAAAAAAAAAAGTTGGTAAAATGGCCATTTTTGGACCAAAACCATGGGTTAACCCCTTTGGAAAAATGTCAATTTTTCGACTTTTCGAAGATCTTGTTTTTATAGCTTAGAAAGGCGTTGTTTCGTTCTAGAATATCACATATCACTAGGGATATATGTTTCCCAGGTGGGGGAACACATATCTCTAAGGATGTGTTTCCCAGGTGGGGGAACACATTTGACTAGGGATATGTGTTTCCCACGTAGGGGAACACATATTTCTAGGGATATGTGTTTCCCAGGTGGGGGAACACATATCACTAGGGATATGTGTTTCCCAGGTCGGGGAACACATATCACAAGGGATATGTGTTTTCCAGGTGGGGGAACACATATCACTAGGGATATGTGTTTCCCAGGTGGGGGAACCCATGTCACTAGGGATAAGTGTTTCCCACGTAGAGGAACACATATCACTAGGGATATGTTTTTCAAAGGTGTGGGAACAGATATCACTAGGGATATGTGTTTTCCAGGTGGGGGAACAGATATCACTAGGGATATGTGTTTTGCAGGTGGGGGAACACATGTCACTAGGGATATGTATTTCCAAGGTGGGGAAACACATATCACTAGGGATATGTTTTTCCCACGTGGGGGAACCGATATCACTAGGGAAATGTGTTTCACAGGTGGGGGAACACATTTCACTAGGGATACGTGTTTCCCTGGTGGGGGAACCCATATCACTAGGGATATGTATTTCCCACGTAGGGGAACACATATCACTAGGGATATGTGTTTTCCAGGTGGGTGAACACATATCACTAGGGATATGTGTTTCCCAGGTGGGGGAACCCATATCACTAGGGATATGTGTTTGCCACGTAGGGGAACACATATCACTAGGGATAAGTGTGTCCCAGGTTGGGGAACACATATCACTAGGGATAAGTGTTTCCCAGGTAGGGGAACACATATCACTAGGGATATGTGTGTCTTAGGTGGGGGAACACATATTTCTATTGATATGTCTTTCGTAAGTGGGGAAACACATATCACTAGGGATAAAACCAGACTCATTTTCGGGACAAGGCAGCTCCTAAGCAGGGTATCAGACATGCGAGTACCTTTCCTTTACCGAGAACTCTTTCCGGTGTCCCCAGTGAAAGACTTAGTCATTATACTGGACTCATACCTGAATTTTAACTATCATATAAACACCTTAACATCGTTTTCTCCTGTCCATGTTATGTCAGATTAGTAAGGTGAGACAGCTGTTCACTAAGCCCGTCTTGTCAACTATTTTGTATTCCCTTATTTTTATTAAACGTGTTTACTGTTTCACTATCTGGGCGGGCTCCTCTAGGCAAAATCTACAGAAGTTACAATTAGGGCAAAACTTTGCCGCTCGCGTATTAGCAGATACTAAAACGTTTGATCACATCTCTCCCGTTCTTTGGGAATTAGGGAGGCCCTTCATCAAAGATCAGCTATTAGTCAGTGATAGTACCCAACAACACCAGGAAAAGGGATAATCTAAATCTCTCTCTGTGCAAAACAGTTTTTGCCCAACGGTCATTTTACTATCGCTCTCTACGTGCCTGGAACTCTCTGACCGCAAACACTAGAAATAGCCCATCACTATGTACCTTTAGAGGAGCGTGAAACGTGAATTACAGGGGCAGACCCCATACGTTAAATAGTTAATATTTGATTTGTGTTAGATGTCCAAAAAGATAACGTAATTTTACGTGCATAGTTTAGGCTTTTACTTTTGTACCAAGACTGTAATTTAATCAATTTAAGCTTTTTCTACTTATCCCCCATTTGTAAATTGACTTCAGAACTGGTGTACTAAAAGTTGTTTTAATTAAGCAGTAATTTTATGTTTTCTTTATTTGATGGGTAGTGTTAGGATTGCTGTTTGATTTTTTGCAGGATTCTTTAAGTCTTGCAAGAGAACTTTTGAGGAAGAAAGCAGAGCTTGTTGGTAAGTTATTTAACACATAAAATTATAGTAGGTAAGTCCTCTGAGCAAGAATAGGAATGCTGATTATGAAAGATCATGGCAGAATTAGTTATCTCTATGTATAGTTAGACAATGTAAGTAAATTAATATTTGTGGGGAAGTGATGTTGTAATTTGCGCCAGACAGTGTAAGTGGGAACAGACTGCCTTCTGTTCAATACCACTCCACTTGGCTGAAGACTAATACTACTGTATCTGATCCTCAAAATCGATAACCAGAGTTAATACCATCAACTGAACTTTGACTCTGAAGGTGACTACCACACTGGTTGTCATCAGTCACCGTCAACAACAGTTCTATTCAGGATTATGATCACCAGGACGATCATGCTTCACCTACAATGAATATTACCAGTCCTTGAAAGGGATCTCTCAATGTGAACACTAGTAATATTTCTCACAATTATCCTTGCCATATTGTAACTTTTTGATGATTTTTTTAACTCGTTATGCTTTCTGTAGAGTGACAAATGTACTTTTTATATAATTAACAGTCCAGTTAGCTGGATTAAGGCATGATTTGTAGATTTTCTCCTTTCTGATCAGGTGAAGAGAGCAAAGTGCCCAACATGCAGGATGTAGTTCGCAAACTTCTCAATGCACTCTACCAGTCTATTATGAATCACGTGGTAAGATGTACTTTTAATTGAAGGCCTGTGACATGAAACTACCTTCAAAAAATTCACGCAAAATACCACTGGAGTTTTCCAGGTACTTGTTGGACCTATTTGTCAGAAAAGAAAAATGCTCAGATTAGAATTGAAGGACACTTTTGATTTCGAGAATAATGAAAGTGTATTTAACATCAAGTCACACTGAATAAAGACCAACGCCCAAGGCATTTGACCTCGTTGGGCCTGCAAAGAATTCTGTAACTTGAACAACAACAACAAGAAAAACTATTGTGTGTCTTGACCAAAAACGTTTTCTTCTCTTCAGCTAGAAGGTGACCAGAAAATGGCTTGACTAACTTGAAACAGCACCACCGTTTTGAACAAAATCTCCAGAGTTGAATGAGTTAATTGATGATATCTATCCAATCTCAAATCAACAACATCATCTAAAAATAATGTCTTCATTTATTACATTGGAGTTTTTCTTTTTTTGAATAAGGATCCGTTGTTAATGTCTGGTCTGTTGTGTTGCTTTAAGGATGAGGAAGGGCGCTGTTTTAGTGATTCATTAACAGAATTATCTGTTCTTCAAGGAGGTGGTAGCAAGTATGTACATTGTCATTCAGACATTTATTCATGTTTTCAAAAACCTTACTCTGTAACTTAAATAAGATTGACGTAATTACATCAGTATTTATCAGTTTTTTAATTGCACCGTGTTTAATGTACAATGTCATTTATCCTTTAACTCTAGACGCTTGTCCCTGATCAGTATTGGAGAAGCGCTCAGAAAGGTACGGGAAAGAATCTACATTAAATTATCCACATTATTGAACTTTTATGGTTCATTCACACAAAATAAAGGATTTAAAATTCACTTGTGTCTTTCTTTTCCAGGGCCAATACCGCAGGCTGGACAGATTTCAAGAAGACGTTTTTGCGGTTTTGGAGAAAGCCAGGGAAATAAGTCGGTCAGATTCTGAGGTGAGCTGGCAATAGTTATTGACACCCGTGGTTAACAACAACAAGTGGTAACAATACTATTACTGATAGAGATTGAAATTCTTATTCACGTTATTTGTGTTAGACAATGATACAGCAACCTTAATCCCAGGTTTAGAGAACTCTGGGAACGAGTTTGAAGATACAGCTGCGTTAAAACCAATATGTTGAAAAAATTGTTGTCACTCTACCAGGTGATGGCGTAAACATAATCAAGATATTGAGTGTGCGTGTATTAAAGCTATTATGATGTCAAGTGAAGTAATTTTCAACAGTAGTAATATCAATTTTGACTTTTCCTAGATGTATGATGATGCTGTTGAGTTACAGCGGTTGTTTTTGAGCCAAAGGGACAAACTTTGTAAAGATGGTGAGAGGTTTGTGTCTCCAGCCCTTGTTATCATCAAAAGACACCTGTCTCAGGAGCTGGATGAGGAAAGAAAAACCAAAGCTGAAGCAGAGGCCAAAGAAGATGCCAAGCAACAGGCCACACAGCAGACACAGGTGAGTAAAGACATGTTTGATTTATGGCCGTTCAGAATAAGGTTTTCTCTGCTTAAAACATTTGTCTTAGAAGGAGTGACATTTGGTTGATACCTGACGTGCAGGGCAGGCATTTTTGGAGGGAGGGGGGATGTGAGCACTAGTATTCACTAGAGTGTCTTTCGCCTCTATCACATGTTCAGCTCTCCCCAATCTTTCTCTGCCTTCAAAATCAAAGATGATGACCATACAGAGGAAAAGTAAAAAAAAATACTTAATTAATAGGCCATTTTACAGTTGTGTATGGAAGCGAGGCTGAGGGTGACCTTGTTTTGATACAAACCTTCCTGCTTTATTATGTAAATCAAGTTATTCTTATGCTAACCAGTATTTTTCGAGAACAATTTCCATAACAAAGCAAAGAAGGTTTGTATCAAAACAAGGTCACCCTCAGCCTCGCTTCCATCCATAACTGTAAAATGGCCTATTGGCGCATTTGAATATATTTATATAGATATTTGCGCCTTAAAAGTTTTTGAAATTAAATTAATTAATTAATTACTTAGCACCCTCTTGCTTGAAGAATAGGCGAATACGTTTAATGAAAACTGCTGATTACTGAAAGCACAACTGATTGGGATAGGGGTACAAAAAGAGAAATTACGAGATGATAGGGGCAGTTCCTTAAACTGTAATAACAATTATAGCTGTATTGAAGGAGTAATATGCTTCAAATCATGTTACAGGTACCAGTCAGTGATGATGCATGTCAACAGGAGATGACCTACAGAGAATTTCAAATCCATGTTGGGGATTTTGTCCTTGTAGAACCAAGGTAATTACTCATAGTTTAAACAACTCTTCAGAAGAATGGTCAAGTAATGAGCAATCTTGGCACCTTTGGCCTCATAACACTTCAGTAGAATTATGACTGTAGTAGGTTAAATCAATTTTCAGACTAAACCAGTCGTGAGTATACATTGTTTTATTTAGGATTTCCTTGTTTCGTGGCCCTAAAATTGACCGAAGAAAACTACGTTTTAACCTTGGAACAGATTTTGTGACAGCATAACCATTTCCTGGCGTGACGACTAGAGGAGAAACTGGGGCCAAAGGAAGCTGGAATCATGTACACATCACACAATCCCAAACATTATGAAACCCTTCAGCCCTTTAACGTGTTGAATGTGGCATAACTTTAAAAGTTTTTTTGAGATACTCTTTATAATTGACGCCAACACCTCTCCAAAACAGGATGCAAATTTCACAGTTTAATGAGTATTTCTTCATATTCCAGGGAAGAGAAACTCCAGCCGCATGTTGTGTGTGTTGAGAAACTTTATAAGGATGGCAGTGGTGAACAGGTAAAGAATTGTTCCAAGTCTCTTGGGATAAACTAGCAATATATTATAACAGGCTTTTCCTTCTTATATAACACTACAATAAAAAATGTGCTTGGTGTGCTTGACTTCTACCATCTCTCCATCATCAGTGGCTGTTCGGGACCTGGTTCTATCGACCTGAGGAAACATTCCACACTGCCACCAGGAAATTCTTAGAAAAGGTAAGAGCACCTCTATGCAGGCTGTTTATTTTCTTAAGCCCTCAATTGTACCAACAGTATTTTGTACCAATGATTTTATTGGTAAGTTCTTTTAAATTCTTGTCACTGGGGTGATAATAGCCTCCTACGCAGACATTCTTAGGGCTTCGTCCCATGTTCCTGCCCTTGGAACTTCTAAATGGGTGACTAGCTAGGGTGATTACAGACAAACTATAATACTATGACGCTATTGTTATTTGCCCTTTCAGGAATTGTTTAAGAGTGACTACTGTGCATCTTCTAAACTGAGTCAAGTGATGGGGAAATGCCATGTCATGTTTGTTAAAGACTACTTCAAACAAAAACCCGAGGTATAATTCTCTTGGTATTATAATTTTGTGAGAGAAGGCCAAAAACAGCACTTATCAAGGGAAAGGCTTATCAATGTAGCTTCTGTACAGTATTGGAATCTTTTGTCAACAAACGTAGATCTCAATATCAATGATACGTGTATGAGAATATACCGGGCAGTAAATATCTGGAATTATGTCTATAAGTGAAGTAGCTGTTTCTTTTACATCACAACAACACCAATTAAAAGGAGCTCTCATTTATTTTTTTATAGTTTATTGTTATGTGTAATTTCTTTTGAAGAACTTCAAAGATGAGGACGTGTTTGTGTGTGAATCAAGGTACAATGTGAAGACGAAGACTTTCAAGAAGACAAAGGTAAGTCTCTTCTGTACAGCTTCTGTATTCTGTCTCTTGTCTCATGGCCTTGGAAACTTTTTATCATCAGTAAGACCCTTTACTAATTGAGTCACAGAGCTATAATGGTTAACATGTTTCATTACACAGATAAATCATGATTTAGCTTCAGTTTTTAATTTTGTGTTCTTTTTTTAAGGTTTGGTCTGTTCCTCGATCAAATGTCACTCTTGTGACGAGAGAAGAACCTTTACAACCCAAGCGAGTGCCCTCTGTTTTTGCTGATAACAAAGAAAACAGAGTGCAGCCAATGGAAACTGAAGTGGAAGGTCAAATTCATGAGGATGTGAAGAAGGTGAACATGGTTTAAACGCTCCAGTCCTAAGGTTAAACATTTAAGTAAACTGTGAGTTTGTAAAAAATGAAAAACCAGGGTTTACCTCCAAAATACACATGCCGTCGTTCAATTTTTTTTGCTGTAATGCAAATTATATTTTCATACATTGTTATCTGATAACAGAAAACAAAGGAGCATAAAATTTTAGCAAAGGTAAGATTAAACAAAAAAAAAACATGCATTAATTCATCAAACCTTCCAGCTATTTATCTTTTCTTCTGCTCCCCTCTTCTTCGTCTGTTTCTTTCCTGTTTCCTCTTTTCTTCAATCCTCGTTTCTTTTAGTCATTTATTTATTTATTTATTGCCAACGAGGCAACCGAGCTAAGAAGCGAGGTTGACTCCGCGGCAGAATTATAACGCCGTGCAATGTAGGCAGAAACTCTCAAATTCTGCGTAACCCTCTAAAATTTGCATTTTTGACCATATTTGGGTGTAAGTAAGACCCCACATTTGGGTAGTGACATCATGGTCTTGTATTTAAACACGTGGTTCAAGATTGGGTGATTCAGTGTGAAGCTGTTCGTTGTCTGTTCAAGAGGGCCTAACTGGTGAGCAAGCTTTAATACGATTTCTAGTTTGAAAGGGCAATTAGTGCTCTGGTTTGCTTTATAAATTGCGTTTAAAGCAGCAGCTGATCAAGGAATAGGGTTTTACGCTCAAATTTTTGTCAGAACTAGCTTGTTCTTTGCAGCGCTATTTACATTGAGGTAGCGTGTTCGCTTCTCGACTCAGAACCAGGGTTTTCAGTGTTCTCTTTTCCTTTGTGAATTGAATTTTAAGCGGTAGTTGATCAAGGCATAGGGTTATTTTCTCAAAACTTATATCAGAACCAGAGTGTTCTTCGCAGGTCGATTTACATTGAGCCAGTCCTCACCTTCCGTGAGGAATGCAACGTATTTGCGGACCTAATATTTTAGAATTTATTTATGTCTTTCGAGAGATTTTGTCAACCAGCACGTTTTTTTGCTACTCGATTTGCTTTTAGACAGCCCAAAACTCCCGTGAGGAATGCAACGAATTTGCGGACCTTCTGTTTTGAACACTATCATTATGCCTTTCAAGACACTCTTTGTCCTGTGACACTCGCTCATTAGATCTTTGTATTTTATTCAAGTTTATATTTTTATACCTCTGATACATTCCGCCCCATTCTTGCGCGCTTTTCACACATTTTACTTTACACCATATTTTTTCTTATGTATATTACCATGCGAAATACTTTTCTTATCCCTGATGACGCTGTTGCTCGGAATTTAATGATTATTTTTAATTTCAGCAGTCAAAGGCCGCGTTTGAACTATATTTTTCTTTCTAACGTTTATAGCTTTGATACAATGGAATTTTCCATGAAACATAATTGCTAACTTGCTCATATTTACCAACAAACAAAGCTTCAAGCCATGTGTTTATTGTTTAATAAATGTGAAAGCCTAGAATGTGCCAAAGTTGTTGTTTTGAAGTTGGGTGCCATCCTTTTCTATAGCGGAATCCATGTTAGACCTCTAAAATTCAGAAAAAAAAAAATATCTCGAAGACCTGAATAGGCACATTCCACAAAAGATAAACGAATTCGCCTCGTTGGCACTTGCCGGAAGGTATCCCTAATATATTTAATTAACCTCCTTCTCTTGCCTCTGATCTGGGTTCGCCACAAATGTCTGCGACAAAGATGACCATTAATGCATTACTTTTAATAGCAGAGAAATTTACTTCTATGCCTGAATGCTTTATGTTTAACTAGAATGTTATCCTGGAGTCACCTCAAAATGCAGAGGAGGGATGTACATACTACGAACAGTTTTGTGTCAGGGATACTCCTTTTAAACTTGGTGAGTAGTCAGTTTTTTGCATTTTTTCTCTAACTTTATTCAGTCTTTAATGTCTCTTCCAGGTATGTACATGTGAAACTGAGTCAGCCTTAAGACATTTAAAAATATTTTTTGTCGTCATTACAGTCGTGAGTTCATGTGAGTCATTCACACCTTGTAAGGTAATCCAAGACAGTCTCGGTTTCCATGTGCTAAGTACTGGATTCCATCAGCGTGGAACTTGGATTCCACATGCCAATCGTTTGTGGAATTCTGGATTCCTTGAGCTGAATTCCGGATTCCAAAGCAAAGGATCCCAGATTCTGGAAAAATTTGTGGCTTCCGGAATGTGGCTTACCTTATATGGGGTAAAGTAATGCTCAATTTGTGGGCAACATTAACAGATACTTAATATATTAATAAACAACAAGGCTGCAGTGATAATTTACAAACTCCTTTTTGTCCTTCTCAGGTGACTGCATATATGTAAGGTCAGATGAGGGTTATTTGTGTATGGCCAGAATTGATAAATTATGGACAGATAGAAGGTATGTAATGACCTATATGTCTAGCAAAGTCTGTTGTGAACACAAAACCTCTGCTGGCATAATCGTGCTGGTTGGTGTAACAAGTGTAATGAACACTCCTTAACTTTTCTCTGTTACTGATTTTTGTACCTTTCCCCGATCCATCACGCAGTCTCTATGAAACTTGAGGATAATAAGAGACAAGAATAAAATGTTTGTTTCATTTTAGCGGTCAAACGTGGTTCCATGGTCCGTGGTTTATAAGTCCAGCCGACACTCAGCATCTTCCTAGTAGAATGTTTTATGAAAAAGAAGTATTTCTGAGTTCTCTGGAGGAAACTATGCCTGTTGCAAGTATTGCGGGCAAATGCTGTGTTCTGCCATTCAGGGAATATGTTAGATGTAAGATTCTTTCTTTCTTTCTTTCTTTCTTTGCTTTTTCTTTGCTTTATGTAACTGGGGAATTAAGGATCAATTACTGTTAGAATGATGTTTTATTAGACCCGGTTCAGACGCCGTACTTTTCTTGTGCTGAGCCTAATTCGAATTAGGGCCGAGCGACCCAAATCATTTAGATCGGCTGAATGATTCAGACGCCGATCTTAATTCCACTCAGTGAGTCCTTTGAAGAAGTACAACAAAATGATAAGTTTTTGCATCACTGGAAACTTGGAAAAATTATCCGAGCCCACAGGATGCGAACCCACAACCCTCCGTGATCTAGTCGGATGCTCTAACCACTGAGCTACTGGATACTCGATGGTGAGCAGTCACATAGTCAAACCAGCCTGGACAAGCACGTATGACTCATAACTGCATCACGTAGTCACATTAATGCATATCGTACATGCAACCATTTAACCACCAAGTGAGTCTTTTTGTACAAGTACAACAACATGATACGTTTTTGCATCAAATGGAAATTAAAAATCAATTTCAGCCGAACAAAATTCAAAAGGAGAAAAATGCTCGTTTCGGCAGAGTGCTTGCAAAAGACGTTATTATAATTTATACATTAGGTTCGGGACATGAAAAGTTCAACGTCTGAATCAAAGCTATTCCAAAGTCACTCTAAAGGCGGAATTCCTGGGCGAGCTAGGCGTGAAGAACGGCTGAGCCTTTACATATTGAAGTAGGCGTTCCTAATTAATTCAGACGTCAAACTTTTCATTAAAATTCAGCGCATTAGGTTCTGCTCGTGAAAAGGTCGGCGTCTGAACCGGACCTTAGGATGAACAATCGGTGTCGTGGTGATAACTGAAAGGCAGAGATAAACCGTATCCTCCCTGCATTCGTTCAATGTACAGAGGGTCTCTTTCACACGTCATTTATTTATTCCGTCATTCACTGACGGACGGACTGACTAACTAACTAACTGACCCAAACAATGAGATTGACGTAGTGGTTTTGTTGCGAACAGGCCGCCCTACAGAGATACCTGAGAAAGACATTTACCTCAATGAAGCTCGCTATGATGAAGAGGAGGGACAGTTCCGAAAACTGAAAGGATTAAAGGTGCTTTGAAGTTTGACGGAAATATATTCATGAATACATTACTAATGAACAAATGAATAAATAGGCTGTTCAGTCGAAAATGTTTAGTTTTACCAGAAGAGTGGATCGCGCTCAAAAAAATGCAAACAAGGTAGTGAGGTTAATTCAAAATTGGTTATCATAGGGGGTTTCAAAAATTGTCGTTTTGGAAAAGCAGTAATCATTTTTCAAAGCAAATCATACTGACACCTTTTGTCTGTAACCTCCCCTCCAACGCTTCTACGCCACAGTTCTTTGGGTCAAAGAAAAAAATCTACACTTGCTGGAAAATTTTATCACGAATACTGGTTTGACTTCTTTTCTGTTATTTTAATCTGCTACTTATGTTTTTCTACTTATTTCCTCGTTTATAGCGTTACACCCTGACTGTCACTGTTCAAGAGGATGAATACTATTTCTTTGAAAAACCAATCACACCAGGAAAGGTTAGTACCTCAGTAAACGGTACAGATCGAATTATTGGATTAGTGATTTATTGCCCACTTATGGAATTTTTTTTAAAATTTAAATTAACTTGTTTGTTAATGATGGCTTTTATAGGCGCCGTCTCCTCTGTTGATTGAAGACATGGATCAGTTAGAAGATGAACGTAGTCATTCTCCTGCTCTGAGCTCTAGTGACGGTGCAACTGGTGATAGCAGCAAAGTAAGTCTTCCATATTTATGTTTATTTCGTACCTCTATCTTGAAGCCTTAATAGTAACCAACAACTAGTTTGATATTACCACTTAAACCCCATGTTAAATGGTTGGGATTTGGTGAGATCATACTTGTCAATCGGTCACAACGTCTCCTTGTCAGATGACCTTGTAGCTCTGGGAAGACCTCACGGGATTAGTCGGGAAAACATGAACAAACAAAGTTAACAATGAAACCGAGCCCGAAAACAAAAGATCTGCGACCCATAGGGGTCCAATTAAATAAGAGGTTCTGAAGGGCTGCAAGGCTACTGGGGATGATCATTAATAGCTGAAAAATAGCTGAAATCTCAGATTTTTAAACTTCTTAACGTGTACAAAATCATTGCAGTTATATACACAATATAATTAGTTGCAAAAAGAAACCATTAATGTGGTACATTTGGTACCGCTTCTGTAAAACTAGACGCGGTACAACTTGCATTTTATTTCGTTTCCATTTTAGAAGGTGAAGAAGCCGCGAAGTCAGTCAGGTTACCTTGTGTTCTCTCACGAGATGAGAGCCTCCATTAGAAAGGAACATCCAGAGTATGCATTTGGTGAAATAAGTCGGATTATTGGAGTTGAGGTAATCCGCACAACAGCCTAAACTGTCAAGCGTAAAACATACCTCAATACCCTTCAATGTAGATGCAAGCATATTTCTATTCCAGTCTCCTTTGTATCAATGAAAAAGGAACTTAACTTTATTTTAGCTATTAAGTATTGCTGCGTTGGGTGCCAATGTGCTTAGAATGCATAAACAATGACCCTGAAGACTAGAACAGATTTCCTTTACGTGCCACGCATTTTTCAATGTCGAAGAATTTGTATACTACAGTAAAAACCCACATATAAGAACCTAGATTTTTCTAACTTAGCCAAAATAGGTTCTTATAGAAATGGTATTTAGTGGGATTTTAGGCTACTGCCACTCCAAATCCATGATCAAACGCGATTAAAATTGTTTTATCTACGCAAGGAGTAGCCCTCTGAAGGAAGGGCACTGTGCTCTCTGATTGGGGCGGAGAGAGGACATTTTTTTGTTTGTTAGGGCTTCCGTCCTTGTTCCTCGCGGCTTCGCCGCTTACCCCTCGCGCGTGCTTTCGATCTCACTATGGCTCTAAAGAAAAATAAGAGACTGCTTACAGTCTTGAGTTACGTTATTTTGCGAGTGTTGTCACGAGACAAGACTTAAAGGGCATGTTAGTTTAAGATCCGGCGTCGCAATTTCTGGGCGAGGTCTTCTTTCTTTAGACATGTTAGTTGAAGACCGGTTCGCTGGAAATTACCCTCTATATGTAGTGTTTAAAAGAAGTTTGTGGTTGTGCTTAAGAGTTTGTTATGTTGTTTTGCTGTCTAGTGGCGTAACATGAGTGCACAGAAGAAAGCAGAGTATGAAGCACGTGCTCAAATGCAGCCTACTCCGACTGAATCAGAGGTAAGCTAGGCTGACCTGGGGTCAATTTAATAAAACTTTTACGCTTTCACATTTACAAGTGAAGCCATTGTTTAAGAGTATGAAAACAATAGCTACACTTGTAAATTACATTTGCAAAAGTTTTTTTAAATTGACCCCTGAATACTGCTAGCAATTGACTCAGTATAATCATGCTCCAGGCGTTCAGATAGTTGGCAGCGGCGCCAAGGAAAGAAAGCCTGGGAAGGAAGAGGGGGACTGGGGCGAGCGGCCAGGGAACCGCGCCCAACTATCAGGACGCCTGGAACAGGCTATGTTATTTTAAAGTAAGTTCTTTGAATGTGTTATTTTGTAAATCTCTGTAAATTATGTCAGGTATTTAAAAAAAGATACACTGACTTGGAGCTGAGATCTAAGTCATTTTCTTAAACGGCTTAAATGGGAGTTTGGTTAACAATGTGAAGTATACACCATTGCTATTTTATTTTACCGATCAAGGGACAGCATTCCCGAAAAGTCACGGTATTTCAAGCCATTATCAGTTGACTAGAAGATGATTATAGCTACAGCCAACAAACGTAACTATTGAGTAACATGCCGGCACCTTTTTTTATTGAGCAGTCAACTGAGAGCGCCAGCAGCCAGGTGCTACCAAGTGGTCCTGTTCTTGCTTATGAGTGCTTATGGAGAGGCTGTGATTATCAGTATGAAGATCTCCAAGAACTCAAGATACATCTGTTAGACAGCACTTGCCATCTCAGAAAATCTGGTACAGTTTTTTCTATCTTCAACCATTTTCTTTTTTTCCGGTTGATTTCCTTGCCTGACATCACGGTTAATCTGGCCGAAGGCCGATGAAAAGTTTTTTCAGAAGGAAGAAAACAGTTAAAGAAAATTCCCACGTAATCTTTTAAACCGAATTTCTTGCGTTGCTATTTCGGTGACACGGCGTCGTGATCAAGGGTTTTTCTAATTGGCCAGCCACTTCAAGAGTTGTACGTTGAATGCATCTGATAGCTAGCAATACACCAAGACGTTATTGCTTATTCTAAAAGGGTAAAACTAGTAGCCTCCTAGTTTCCGACCGCATTTCACGGTCATTCGGTGCGTTTCGTCACATGATCTCGCTTTGGACATGTGACAAGTGTGAAGGGGTGCCCTGACCTTTTTGTATATTAATGTTTATCGAAACTTTTTAGAGAATAGGTGATTGCTTTAGCGAAAAAGCTAACGTTCAGATATGTTTTGTTGTACAGAGGATGGATTTTTTCATTGTTTATGGACTACTTGCATGAGGGAACGACGAGGAATGAGGTAATCTACAAACCGCTCTGTAGGTCGTTAATGCGCATGCCCCGTGTGCGTTAGTGTTTTGTTTTGCGTTACACTGGAAAGCCCTGATTTGTGGAAGCTGTGTATATGTGAGCTATTCTTACATTAGAATGTTGAAATGCACTCAGTATGCATTTCAAAGTTCGTTATTCGAAGACTGCGCTGCTCGCTGCATGCTTTCACATCTGTTAGCCTTTGTGTAGCTAGTTGTTGCTAATTGGCGCACCAGTATTATTTATAATTATTTATTTAATATCATTTACTTACAGAATAGGCTATATACTGAGCGTGCTTTGATTGGCTAATAGTTACTCACATTAATACACGTTTCCTAAACAAAATTGAAGTTTTCACTTCTGAAAGCTTCGGAGTACTGGAAACAGCTCACGTAACACGCATCTTTGACTTTTTTTTCCGGTAAGTTTTTCATCATCATAAAACCAGGACTCATGGGAAAGGTGTTTTTTATTAATCGTTTCTCACGAAGTCGTGAATTTAATATAAAATACATAGCGCCCATAGCGATATACTCTTAGCTATAGAGATGGCATGTGCTATTTTTGTCCCGCAGGCCGTTTAACGCCAGCTCCAAGTTATTCCGCCATTGCAGAGAGGTGCACTTAGTTGGAAACCCAAAACCAATCACCCAACAGCAAAGAAGCAAGTAAGTTTGTTATCGGAAATTCAATGACAGTGTGGCTACGGTACTACTTAGTAACATCACCACAGTCAATAACATAATGATATTTTTCCTTATCGAAACATTCGCGACTTTGTGCTATTCGAGTACAGTTTGTCTGTTGTGGTCAATAGATAGAACAGAGGCCCACTACTTCTAGTACTTTGTCCTTGACGTTGAAAGGGATCAACGGATTTTGCAGGCTTGTTCAACCTTGTGTTACCTCAGGGTTACTGTGCCGTTACCCTAATTTTACCCCAGGGTCGTGATGACCTGGTGATCCAGTTGTTGACGCTTCAGGCGCGTTATTTCCTTAGAAAAGAAGTTTGTTGTACTTCGTCTCTCTACTCCCAAGTGTAAAAGTAGGTACTTGCGGTACCTAAGAGTGAGGGAGATCAGCAATCAGAATGGGTACGGTCTCACTCGACTTCGCCTTTGTATTACTCCAGGCCAACTTCGTCCCCAGGGTTCTCGCCAACCTGTCCTGTAGGAGAAACCCTGGGAACAAAGTTGACCCCGTTCATTTCCCGGATTAAGAGAATGTAAATAACATACCACCTTTCGGACAAAACTGTTAAGCTGACTGCACTTCTCATTTGTGGTTGCTTCCGTAGGAACTATTTTCCAAAACACCAGGCAGCAGCCATAGTTGTAGCTACTTCTGAGCCACCAGTAACTCAACGCAGCACAAGCACTCCTATGACTGCCAGTGTTCCTTCAGCTGGTCCTAATGGCGTAACAGCGCACATGTTGGGTATGCTCTCTTCAGGAAATCAGTTTTCTCAAACAGCCACTCACATGCAAGGAAATACGGCTGTAACCAATCAAGGAGCTTACATAGGAGGACGGCTAACACCTCAAGCGATGCAGCAAGGTAAACACAATATGAACAGTGGTGCTGAACAAATGAATTTTTTCCAAAAGCGTGCGCTTCCATTGGTTACTTTGTGGTCACATGACAAATAACAAGGAAGCTGTTTCCCGCCAAAAGTGAATGAAGACCGTTGCAAAATGTATGACGTCAGAGAACAATGCACTGTTACCCGCCATAGCTGACCAGTAGTCTGTTCACATTGGACTTAGTTATGTTCATAAAAAGTTAATTGATTTGTAAATTTTAACCCATTGTGTTGATATGTAGCACTGTACCAAAGTAACAGTGGAGTGAGTGGAATAACACAGAATACCCAACAGGCAGCAGCAATGTTACAAAGACAGATGAACATGGCAGTGCAGCAACAACCAACACAACAAACCACAGGTACACCAGGCATTTGAGAGAAACTCAGCCCAGCTCTTGATATGATATCAACGCTCCAACAATGTGAAGGACTTAAATATCTTTTCATTTGTAACAGTCACTTTGTAATATCTGATCGATTACTGCAGTGACTACTTATTGGGGTGTTAAAGTTGTTGAATAGCGCCTTAAAGTTTACATGATTACAGACATCATTTAATACTCAAGTGAATCTGCAAAGTTTTAAGCGTTTGGACGTCATTTCTATAGTGACAATCATAAGCGATATAGACCATGGAAAATTGTTGCCAATGCATCATTGTGCATATGCCACCTATCGATAGTCCTAGCGCACAATATGTAGAGTGTCTGATGACACATGAACTCAGTAAAATAGCATTATCTCCCACCAGTCTGTCTCCTGTAGCTCTCTGGTAGAGCATGTCACGAACCAAAAAACGTACTTTGTCGGGAATGTACAAATTGGCTGATAAAAAAACTTTGGCATAAAAACAGTTGACAGGAAATGTGTTAAATGGAAAGCAAACTAGTGAGCCCAGAACAATTGAACTTGTGGGATGAAGTTGTTCGTGTATATCACCGTTCGTGAGTGTTGTTATCGACCACGGCATATTGGTTTACTTTATATACTCACTACAATTTTGCTGTTCGACCGCGTATTGATCATGCCTTGCTTGATGATCAACTTTTTGACTAAACTGGTTCTTTTGGTTCATTGTTGTAGATAATCTTCTAATTGAGATCATCTATGTTACAACCCGCCTTCTCTTCTTGTTGCTGTATAGGTCAGGTTGGGGGCTTGCAGGTCCAGCAGCAGCAGTACAGCCCTGCACAACAGCAGCAGCAGTTTAACTTTCAACAGCAAATTAACCAGATTAACACTATACAACATCAGCAGCAGCAGCAACAGCAGCAGCAACATTACGCCCAGCAGATCCAGCAACAACAGCAGCAACAAGTGATGGCAGCACAAGCTGCTGTCGTGACGCAACCTCTGCCACCACCCCCTAAGGAAACGGTAAGATGACCGGCTCAAAATGATATCACACCGCTGAAGAAGTATAGGCCAAGGACAGTTAACGCTTTGGCGCTTTCAATCAATGATACTCGTGCAATGCATGCAAATTTTTTGTCTTTACAAGTCACTGTGTTTCGTTCAGGAACAACGCCATAAATTTCTTAGGGAATGATAGCCCTAAGTTGAATTGACCCAGTACACGTTGCAAATAGAAAGGAACCCATTTTGTTCTCCTGGAATCAACTTCTGTCACCTTTTCTCCCTTTTCTCTACGCTTTGTGATCGCAAGGAGAAAGTCCTGTTTTACCCAGTTTTTAAACAGTTTTGTTCCTTTATGTAGCGATAAAACTGTTATTTTGTGTAGTTTCGTAGAACCTGATTTTAAAAGCCTTACACTGTGACAACCACAATGGTTGCAGACTAGAAAAAATAGCCGTAAATCGTCACATTAAATATTTACTCTTAGCAAGAACGCACCTAGCAGAAGGACCGCCAAATTTAAAATTACACTGTTTCATTAATGTTCGCGTGCAATCTGTTAAACTTGTTCTCATTTCCTTTACAGCCTGCTCCCATATTTCTTGCTCCACCGCCCAAGCCACAAAGACTTCACCACTCAGACGCCTATCTCAGGTACATCGAGGGTCTTCGTGATGGAAGCCCACACATGAGCAACTGGAACCAGGCGCGCAAACCAGACGTCTCCACTATGACCCCTCAACAAGTGGCCCAGTTACCGGTCCACTGGCTGGGATGCGGTTATGGAGACTACAACAATGCTGTTGATGCTCTGTGGGCCTTGAGAGATCACATGATGAGGGATGCACTGACACTATCCAGGGTAGCAGAAACTTAGTTTAAGACGAAGAAAAGGAAACAGTTCTTTGTTTTGGCAGATTTATCTGCAGTGTTGCGTGGTTCGTTTATTTATTCTTTGTCGGACTGACATTCTGAAGAGAAACGCAGTGTGCAGTTTTCGAAAAAACCTCTATTATTCAACTTGTTGTTTTTAGAGACAGTTCTCTTCGCACTGTGTTACAATGACGGTTGCAATACGCTTTCTTGGAGTTTAGGTCGTGTTGCGAATTGTGGGAAATGCGTGTTGTAACACCGTTCATCATAGTTACTTTTTAACCTCCGTTTAATTTTGTCACCTTAAGTTCTTTTTTAAAGTTAGTTATAGCTCATTCCATTTTGGTCTCGAGTGTATCCGTTTCATGTTTGTTCGTTGAAATGCCATAGACAAACCNTGAGAGATCACATGATGAGGGATGCACTGACACTATCCAGGGTAGCAGAAACTTAGTTTAAGACGAAGAAAAGGAAACAGTTCTTTGTTTTGGCAGATTTATCTGCAGTGTTGCGTGGTTCGTTTATTTATTCTTTGTCGGACTGACATTCTGAAGAGAAACGCAGTGTGCAGTTTTCGAAAAAACCTCTATTATTCAACTTGTTGTTTTTAGAGACAGTTCTCTTCGCACTGTGTTACAATGACGGTTGCAATACGCTTTCTTGGAGTTTAGGTCGTGTTGCGAATTGTGGGAAATGCGTGTTGTAACACCGTTCATCATAGTTACTTTTTAACCTCCGTTTAATTTTGTCACCTTAAGTTCTTTTTTAAAGTTAGTTATAGCTCATTCCATTTTGGTCTCGAGTGTATCCGTTTCATGTTTGTTCGTTGAAATGCCATAGACAAACCTTGATCTTTGAGCTTATATTTTAGCAGTCTGTGCAGGTTACTAAGCTGTCCAGTTACTGCTAAATAATCGAGGCGATCTATTTCCTTCAACGACTTTAAACAGAGGCCATCTTTTAGCGTTATTGTTATTTGATTGACATTCATGTTCTTTTCCTCGGAGTAAAGTTTGAGGTATAAAAGCAAGTAGCAGGTGGGCTAGTATGTTTGGTTGTTTAAAAAGTTAAACTGATGAGTGGTCACGTGAAGATGGGTTTTGGAATCGAAGGTACTCGCTGCCGCGCCGCAGGTAGTCTATACGCTGTATGAAGCGCCTGTTGTTGTCCTGGCAAACTCCAATATTTCTTGATACCTTTGTGTTTAATACTAGTCAACCTTTCTGTATAAACAATAAATCTTGTTCATTGTTACTTGAAGTTATATTAATTTTGTAATTAACCGTTTGATTTTCCTTCGATTCTATTGGATGCAACTCGTCACATGGCACAACACGTCACATAGTCTCGTCCCGAGGCCTCCTCTTTGCTATTACGCAGTGCTCGTTGTCTCTTGGGAAAGCGAATGCACTTTGTTTCTCAACCTTCCCATGAAGACCCGCGTTGTCTGTTGTCCGTGAGACGGAGGGGCCTGGGGACGAAGCATGTAAGTCTGGAGGGAGAAGGAGAGAGGGAAACTCTGAGCCAGCAAACAAAAGTTCATTAAAGTGGATCAAATGTTACGAGAATACTACATAGATATTAAGGTGACTGAACACAGTTTTGCGGGCGGTCAGCGGGTAACTAACGTGACAGCGCGTGCTTTAAATTAGACAAACAAACATGGCGGCGAATAATATTATAATATTTATTGATTTGTATTGCGCAAATATCAATCCAGGGAAAGAAATTTTCATCTGCGCATAACATTGACTCAACAAAATCCTAAAATCCTAGTACATATTCCAAAAACAAAATTTACAGATCGTTCCTAAAAATTAGTAAAAATAACAATTAAAATAAAAATTAATCTTTAAAATCCTATATACAAATCCTTCTAAATAAAGAGAATAAAAACAATAAATTAGCTGGGAAACGCCTTCTGAAATAAATGAGTTTTAAGAGCCTTCTTGAAAGCATTAACTGAAGATATATTTCTAATAAAAAGGGGAAGATCGTTCCATAATTTAGGGGCAGCCATATAAAAAGATCGATCACCAAGCGTGGAAAGAGACTTGCATGGTGGAATGTTAAGAAGTTTGCCGTTATTTGATCTAGGATAGTACCTACCCCCTGTGTCTTTCGGTGATACAAGTTCGGAAATGTAAGTCGGAGCAAGTTTATGAATGGCCTTAAAAGTTAACAATAAAATTTTAAAAACAATTCGATATGCTACGGGTAACCAGTGTAGGGCTCTGAGCAATGGTGTAATATGACAAAATTTACTTTCGTGAAATACAAGACGTGCAGCAGAGTTCTTTGCGAAAAAGCAATGGTACACAGAAGACGATTTCTCAAAATATACGCATTAGAATTTTGCGATATTTGGCAGAGTTTTTACTTTTATCGTATTTTAAATAATGAGACCTTTAAAATGGAAGTTCAACAGACGAATTTTGTGACACAGTTAATAATTATAGTACCATTATATTATTGATTATCTAAAATCCCGTCTGTTAAAATTTGGTCAAATAAGTTTCAAATAGTAATGATTAATTATAGTAAGCTGTGTGCTAGTTTATAGGAAAATCTATTGGGCGAATTTTATGTAAACTGAGCAAAAGTGAAATTTTAAGGTTGTATTCAATCGTTCATGTTGCCATGGAAACTATGAAAACCTCAAATTTTACCTGTCAATCAAAATCTTTTATCAGTATATTTTTCACTTGCCAAGTTTCAGCTTGTGAGCTGCTACCTTTCTCTTGCCATGATTTGGCAAATGACACATACTCATAAACTGCCAAAACTGTGTTCAGACACCTTTAAAAGAAACACTCGAACGATGTCAATTGTCTGTTGAAAGAAAAACTTCCGTTCATATCACGAAGCTTCCGAGGAGCTGTCCAGACAACTTTCAAGAAAATTCTAAATAGAGGTAAGTGTGATATTTTTTTGGAAATATGTTGAAAGAATACTCAAAAAGTTAACCTGGATGTTAAAACCCCAAATGCTTTTTCCTTCCAGTTTTAAAGATCCAGAGGATTTGTTGGGGCATCCCACCATCATTTATCTTGTTAGTTCCCGGGTCTTTGTGAAAGTAGTAACAGAGTATAAGGTAAGGTAAGTGTGGTCCATAGTAATCTTTATCCAGGGAGGTAGTAATAAACGTTAAATCAGTCGGTCGGATACTTACAACTGTGATGTCTTCACAACAGCGTTTTTTATTATGCTCAGGTTTTGCCAGTGGTGACCACTGAGTGGTTAACATTTTTCCGTATCTGAAGTTTTGCCATAGCGTTGTTTTCTTAGAAAGGAAACTTTGCTTCATTGAGTCCTTTTTGTTTGTTTGTTTGTTTGTTTCCCCAAGTGAATAACTGAGTACCAGCGACATATTGTTGGGGTTAACGCTGCATCCCATTCACTGAGGTAGGGTAGGGGGGAGGGGTGGTAGGCATTCAGAATTCGTAATGCCTTGACTTTGAGTTGACTGGGCCAAGTCCCTCCACGAAGGCCTATTGTTGGCGTACTCCCAGGGTTGTAACTTTAAGCTACAAACGAGTTAAATTTCTCAGAGACTATTCAGCAAGATCATTTGACGTTAAGATAACTCTCCTCCGAGTAAGACTTGACAATAATTAATTAACTACCATAACAAGTTTCTGGAAAAGGAAATTAAATTTTGTGTAAAATTTCGCCTAATACTGTGTCAAAGCTAACTATTTGTTCCGAAACTTAGGCCAGATTATCATTATTCCCGAACGAAATAAAAAAAGTAATGCCGAATAGTTATATCTATGTTGTTGTTTGAATTGTCGAAATAGAATCAATATTTAGCTAATAACAACTGGTTTGAACCAGAGGCAGGAACTCATTTAAGTTGAGTCGGCTCAGTCAGTGCAAAGACAAACTGACACCTCTCACGTTTGGTCCGCTTAGATTCCTAACAGCCACCAACATCACCACTTAACTACGACTTTATTGATTAACCACATCCGAAACGGCTCAGTAGACTGAGCCTCGTTCCATTAGCTTAAGATACAACTTACTGTGATTCTGTTGATGACAACCACTCAAGTTCGAGAAACGTCAGTTGGTCAGCTCACCTGCCTTGCACTGAGTCAGAGTCCTATTCAGGGCTATTCTCAATATGACAATTATATTCAACCCATTAAAATAACCCATCAGTTATTTAATTGCGAAATTTTCATTTTTTTTTCGTCTTGCCATTGTCATCGTACGCGCATTAATTGATTGTAACAAAATTCAGAAGTTTGCACGTAACTTCTACTTCGTATCATTCCCGCGCTTCCACTGAAGATTTTTGCGTTTTTCTTTCCATTTTTTTCATATCCTATTATATATAAATGTATATTATATTTATATAGATAGATATATGTATATTTCAGTCTTTTGCGCCTAATGAAGGGCAGTTTAAGTAGCCCGTATAAAGAATAAAAAAGGGAGATTAGGAAAACCAATCATCCTGCACAAGCCACGCCTCGCAGGCTGTTGTGATTCAGCTTATTTTGATAGAATAACTGATTAATATCTCCTTTGGTTAGCGAAAAATCAAGCCTGAAGAAACGCGCAAATGCATATAACTGGTAAGTTCTCCCTTAAGTGGAATGTATAAGATTTCTCAATAGCGATAAAAAGAAATCAAAGCGATTTGAAAAGGGAAATTTCGAGGAAATGATTCAGACTGTGAATTGTTTTTAGGCTGTCTTGAGTGATAAGATAACGCTTAAAGCAAATAAATTCAAAAGAGCTCAATTTATCTTTTATTTTAAGGTTTGAATTGCATTGCAATCAGTAACACTTCTGCTTTATTGAAAGAAAAATAACTGACATATTATTAGACTTGTAGGTTTAAATAGGTGCTTTAGTATCCAGTCACTCAAATTAGTTTTTTTAACCCAAATTTTTGATGTTGCTAGTGTATTTCAGTTACTGAACCATACCCTTTAATACTTTTATTACCGACTTGGTTGTCGAAATGTTTTGTAAAAAGTAGATAAAACATCTTGATTGAATTTTATCGTGGATCATTAAATATCAGCTCAGTCTGCTTTTGAACGTCTCAAGAAGTTCTTAAAGTGTTTTCCTGTAAAATTCTATCAGGAAAAAAGCATTGCTTTTCATCTTAAGTGAGCTTTAATTCTACCAAAGTCAGTTAAGTGAAAGACCACAATAGCTGCCGACTCTATTCAGTTAGACTCTTGAAGTGCTGAATTGAAGAAATAGGTGACAAGTCTTATTGTGTGGGGGACTTTGATTGCGAGTGCCATTTCAAAGAAAGCTTTCTTCATGCTGTCGTCAACACTGAAAAAACTGACAAGAAGTTTAATTACATGGAAATTTTTAACCAACCAACGCTCGACAGCAGATGTTTGCCGAAAGCAAGTGCGAAAACTTATTCGAACCTGTAGTCGCCATGGAGGATATTGCAGGCACAAAACAAACGCCTTAAACTTGATAAAAAACAGAAATGACGGGATAAAAAAAAAAGTTTTGACTGCTTTGAAAATGAACATGACAAAATTTGAGGTTTTTCAGTGAACAACGTAGGTAATTAAATATTGATGAAAAATTTATCGGTAAGCCATGCAATAATTAGACAAGTTTTCTTACTATCTTTTTGATGTTACAACCGTGGCATATGATGTTATCACCGTTGCAAAACCATCGTTTCTATTTGTTGTGGTTTGCCCACGTTTTAAGTTGTGTCGGATTTACTTAGATCGGCAATGAGTATTGATTATAGACCATAAAGGCTTAAGCTCGCGTCAGAAACCAATATAATCGTAACTAATGCCGAAGTTAACCACCCAAACATAATAATTTCATTTAATGGCTATTTCCTTCGTTTTGTGTTGAGACANAAAAAAAAAGTTTTCACTGCGTTGAAAATGAACATGACAAAATTTGAGGTTTTTCAGTGAACAACGTAGGTAATTAAATATTGATGAAAAATTTATCGGTAAGCCATGCAATAATTAGACAAGTTTTCTTACTATCTTTTTGATGTTACAACCGTGGCATATGATGTTATCACCGTTGCAAAACCATCGTTTCTATTTGTTGTGGTTTGCCCACGTTTTAAGTTGTGTCGGATTTACTTAGATCGGCAATGAGTATTGATTATAGACCATAAAGGCTTAAGCTCGCGTCAGAAACCAATATAATCGTAACTAATGCCGAAGTTAACCACCCAAACATAATAATTTCATTTAATGGCTATTTCCTTCGTTTTGTGTTGAGACAATTTTAATCGCCCTTCTACTGCTTCCGATCGGAGAGATATCTCTGCGCCCATAATTATATCCGCTGATATGGTACCCTGAGGTACAGAACGAAGGTGATTCGACAACGCGAATAAAACTAATAATAATGAAACTTGTTCAAACACAGCAATTTATCATAAATTACTTTCCCACAAGTAATTTTTTGACGTAGTTTATGTCAATAGTGTAACTGTGCTAAAATTGCTGTATTGTTGGTTTTTGGAAACTTTAACTGGTTGACGTTTGTCTCCTTTTCACTACAGTTGTATTTATAACGAGGTGAATCTTGTTTTCAAATCAACTTTGATGAAGTCATATTATCACAGGTTATTTTTACTTCAGTGACAAGACGCAGATAAATCTTTTGTCAAATAAAGTATTATTCGCGAATAAATGAAAAGCTGTATTTAATCTGACTTTGTTTGTACAATGTGCACTGTTCTGCAGTCAGTACGTGGCTGATTACTTATGCTAGGAAATTGCGCTTTCAAGCATAAAGTTCTAGATAACTTGAACATTTATTTCCACACAATACCACAATAAAGCTTTGCAACATAATACACAACACTGTATGACTAAGGAGTGCTGCTTTGTGTCAAACCATGGAATTCAAAGTTATTTGATCTTGACGCGCGTAGCTTCTTTTACTGTAACACGGAATCATCATGTACAATTCGGTGCGAAAGTCTTGTTTTAAAAAGGTGTACAACATTGGGTTTATAAATGAGGTGGAGAAACGCAAAAAGTCGAAAACTAAGAGCCAATCCAGTGGCAGTGCATAGAAAACGTCCTGACTGAGGTACTCCTGGAATAACATTAAGTACCATGTGGACCAACAGCATGTAAATATACCAAGCATCAGAGCGAAGATTGTGATGGCGCGTTTTTCAGCGACCAAATGTTTGCCCCGCGTGCTGCCACCGCCACACGACTCGTGAAGGTGGTTTATTTTTCGGATCTGCTGAGCCTGGTGACGAATTACGCAGAACATTCGCGCGTAGAAAAACAGCATAAGCGCTAGGGGTACCAACAGACACAGCACCACTCCAATGATATTATAGATGAGGCCCCATCGTAGCTTGGTCGGATTGAGGGAGGTGAAGTCATCGAATTCCTGCCAAGCGAGTTGTATGAGCGCCATGAAGAGAGAAAATATCCATACAGCGCTAATAAGGGTCAGAATTCTCCTCTTGGTGATCATCATCATGTAGTTGAACGGGAATATCACTGACACATACCTTTCCGCTGTGATGATCAGAATATGGTAGATTGTTGACACTGCGATGAATCTGTAAACTGCTGCCGCGGAAATGCAAAGCCCGGAGAAACTCTGATATCCGACAAGTGCGTTACATGCTGTGTTCATCGGTATTCCTAACAGACCCATCATAAGATCAGACACACTCAGGCTTACAAGAAGTAAGTTAGTCTTGGTGCGCAGAGGTCTTCTTCGCACAAAAAGTACAAGAACCAAGATGTTAATGGCGATAATCAAAAAGCTAAGAACAATTAAACAAGAATCGTAGCTTAAGTCGAAGAAGCTTTCATGCGACAGGTTGTCGGCCGCTTGATGCGAGGTAGAATTGTTTTGCTTTATCATGATTTTCCTTTCCCTGACTCACTCCGGCTTTCTATCTGCGTCTTTTAACAGTGAAGTATACACAGACTGACTGTCCCGTCACGGGTGGACTAATGATTGCATACCAGCTATTAATTTGATTTGACCAATGGCGCTGCAGAACGAAGTTGAAGCCTTTTATGTAAACACCTTTTTTGTAATCGAAGTTAATGAGAAGTAGCAATCCTCTCGAGGATTGCTTAAGTGACAGGACAAATTGATTTTGATTAACGAACTGCGCTCAAATCAGTAATAATTAATTTAAACTGGAATGACTGCATTGTTTCCCTTTGTATATTGTGTGTTACTGAAAAAGTTAATGGATCAGGCGTGCGTCTTGTCGGTTTATTGTAAAGGTTCAGAGCGGATGAAGTGCATTCGGTCTGAATCGTTAACGATGATTTCCTCGTAAAATATGACAGAACTAATGCTAAACCATTTTAACAGTCGCCGCAAATGTCACAATTTCTTTCCTATTTAACTGCCGCCAGTTTTTAGTCATAATAGCAAAAGCAATCATGAAGATGTCGTAACTACCTGACAAGTCTTTTGTTTAATAATCCAGGTGCTTGATGCAACTTATCTCAACCTCAAAAGTACAATGAAGAATATTTATTAGTACAAAGCAGTGTATCCACAAATGAGTTGTTTCAAATCAAATGGCAACATTTTTTTCTTATCGAGTTACATTCAACGCGCGCCAACTGATCTGCCTTTTGAATTAATTTTTAAAATCCTTTAAAGGTTGACAGAGGGTGAGAATGAAATATATTTTGAACTTCTTTTCGCGTGCATTCCCTAATCACAACGAATTTACTATTGTCTTCCATTTAAAAATTACCTACAAAGTTATAACTTGCGTTTTATCGTAAATACTTCCGTAGCAAAAAAAATACATCTATGTACTGTACGTATTATGAAAAAGAAAAGAAAACCTACAGCAGCGTTGATGGGGACAGGAATTGAATGCGTCTGAAAACACTTCTATAAAGATGACAGTGTAATCTGGTGATTCAGAGATTCAAGTGTCCAAATGCCTCAGGGCCGGCCAGTTTCTTAAAATCCCTGGTAACTTTTTGGGCCCGAAATGAATCATCTATTGTAAATGAACCCGAGCGCGGGTTCTAGCTAACAAACGAGTCCATCAACTGCAGAAATATTGAAACCTCGAACTTGAATATGAACATCAACGGCTATTCTAGGCCTATATAGATCTACATCTACATATTCATTCATTTTGTCGGTAAAATCTTTCCGCAATCTTTATCGCAACAACTATAGTGAAAAATTAAAATATATACTCGGAAATAACAGAAGTAAACATGTAAATAAGTCATATCTCTAAGTAAAAATAATCGAAAATAAAGATTAAATTTAAGCGTTTGTGCACACCTTTGCGCTGCCACGAAAATCATACCGGATACGACCTCTGATCACACTACCGACCACACTCTAGAACGGTTATAACGACGCGATTCTGTGACGGAGCGAAGCTGCACCCGCAACTGCAAAAATAACCTCTCGACAACAGCCAGTTTTTTCAGTGATTGACGAAAAAGTCAAAAATGGTCATGAAGTTTGATCTGTATGACGCCTCTATGATTAATCGCAAAATTGTATTTTGATTGTGCTCCGTTTATACCGCTGCAGTAGGCATAAATTGCCTACAAACAACACTTAGCGAATGCCTGGATGCGAAATACCACAACAAACATGTTGCCGGTTCCACGAAAAAATAGTCATATCACACGCCTACCCATGTCCCCATAACGGCACCTCTCCCGCAGCTACTGCCACTTTCTTCTGTCCCTAGGGTGACTGTTGTGGAGAGGTTCGACTGCACTTTGGTGCAGTTTTAACACCTGCTGTATTCGGTCCGTCGCGGAATCAAATATTTAGTAGGAGCGAGGACCGGAATCCACTGAAACGGAAGTAAATATTACATGTAAGGAGAGTGAGGACTAAAATTCTTTGAGCAACAAACCCCCTCTGCCTTCCCTCTGCCAAGCAACCGTGCCGGTACGATGTTTATTGTTTGAACGACTTGCGCCGAGCCAAGCCGTTGCTGTTCAGACCGGATAGCGTTTCGTGGTTTTATCTTTGTTTGAGGCTACTTTTTAGGGTGTTTTCGCCTTGTTTTAGTCTGCCTTCTACTGGCGTTTTTTAGCCACTTTTTTTTTTAGCCAGGTTTTGTCTCCGTTTTAAGTTGATTTTTTTCTGCTTCGGTGTTTATGCCTACTTTTTAGGCTTCTGTGGATTGTTTTATACCGGTTTAAGGCTGCTTTTTAGGCTCTTTTAGACTGTTTTATAGGGGTTTTAGGCTGCTTTTTAGGCTGTTTTGGAATGTTTTTATACGGGTTTTAGGCTGCATTTTAGGCTGTTTTGGAATGTTTTATAGGGGTTTTAGGTTGCTTTTTAGGCTGTTTTAGACTGTTTTTATAGGGGTTTTAGGCTGCTTTTTAGGCTTTTTTTGACTGTTTTGATAGCGGTTTTAGGCCGCTTTTTAAGCTGTTTTGGACTGTTTTATGGGCGTTTTAGGCTGGTTTTTAGGCTGTTTTGGACTGTTTTTATAGGGGTTTTAGCCTGCTTTTTAGACTGTTTTAGACTGTTTTTAGGGGGGTTTAGACTGCTTTTTAGGCTGTTTTAGACTTTTTTTTATGGGGGTTTTACGCTGCTTTTTAGGCTGTTTTAGACTTTTTTTATGGGGGTTTTACGCTGCTTTTTAGGCTGTTTTAGACTCTTTTATAGAGGTTTTACGCTGCTTTTTAGGTTGTCTTAGAATGTTTTATAGGGGCTTTAGGCTGCTTTTTAGCTCTTTTAGACTGTTTTTATAAGGGTTTTAGGCTGCTTTTTAGGCTATTTTAGAATGTTTTATAGCGGTTTTAGGCCGCTTTTTAGCTCTTTTAGACTGTTTTTATAGGGGTTTAGGCTGCTTTTTAGGCTGTTTTGGACTGTTTTTATAGGGGTTTAGGCTGCTTTTTAGGCTGTTTTGGACTGTTTTTATAGCGGTTTTACCCTGCTTTTTTGGCTGTTTTGGAATGCTTTATAGAGGTTTTAGACTGGTTTTTACGCTGTTTTGGAATGTGTTATAAGGGTTTAGGCTGCTTTTTAGGCTGTTTTAGCTTTTTTTATAGGAGTTTTAGGCTGCTTTTTAGGCTGTTTTAGACTGTCTTTATACGGGTTTTAGCTGCTTTTTAGGCCATTTTTTGACTGTTTTTATAGCGGTTTTAGGCTGCTTTTTAGGCTGCTTTGAACTGTTTTTATAGGGGTTTTAGGCTGCGTTTTAGCCTGTTTTGGACTGTTTTTATAGCGGTTTTAGGCTGCTTCTTAGGCTGTTTAGGACTGTTTTTTTAGTGGTTTTAGGCTGCTTTTTAGGCTTTTTTTGACTGTTTTTATAGCGGTTTTAGGCTGCATTTAAGGCTTTTTTAGACAGTTTTTATAGGGGTTTTAGGGTGCTTTTTAGGCTGTTTCGGACCGTTTTTATAGGGGTTTAGGCTTCTTTTTAGGCTGTTTTAGACTTTTTTTATAGTGGTTTTAGGCTGCTTTTTAGGCTGTTTCGGACTGTTTTTGTAGGGGTTTAGGCTTCTTTTTAGGCTGTTTTAGACTGTTTTTATAGGGGTTTAGGCTTCTTTTTAGGCTGTTTTAGACTGTTTTTATAGCAGTTTTAGGCTTCTTTTTAGGCTGTTTTAGACTGTTTTTATAGGGGTTTTAGGCCGCTTTTTAGGCTTTTTTTGACTGTTTATAGCGGCTTTAGGCCACTTTTTAGGCTGTTTTTGACTGTTTTTATAGCGGTTTTAGGCTGCTTTTTAGGCTTTTTTTGACTGTTTTTATAGCGGTTTTAGGCGTTTTTTTAGGGTGTTTTAGACTGTTTTTTTAGCGGTTTTAGGCCTCTTTTTAAGGTGTTTTAGACCTGTTTTTATAGCGGTTTTAGGCCGCTTTTTAGGCTTTTTTTGACTGTTTTTATAGTGGTTTTAGGCTGCTTTTTAGGGTTTTTTTGACTGTTTTTATAGCGGTTTTAGACTGCTTTTTAGGCTGTTTTGGACTGTTTTTATAGCGGTTTTAGGCCGGTTTTTAGGCTTTTCTGGACTGTTTTTATAGCGGTTTTAGGCCGGTTTTTAGGCTTTTCTGGACTGTTTTTATAGCGGTTTTTAGGCCGCTTTTTAAGCTGTTTTAGACTGTTTTTATAGCGGTTTTAAGCTGCTTTTTAGGCTGTTTTTATAGGGGTTTTAGGCTGCTTTTTAGGCTGTTTTAGACTGTTTTTATAGGGGTTTTAAGCTGCTTTTTAGGCTGTTTTAGACGGTTTTATAGGGGTTTTAGGCCGCTTTTTAGGCTGTTTTGGACTGTTTTTATAGCGGTTTTAGGCCGCCTTTTAGGCTTTTTTTGACTGTTTTTATAGCGGTTTTAGGCCGCTTTTTAGGCTGTTTTGGACTGTTTTTATAGCGGATTTAGGCTGTTTTTTAGGCTTTTTTTGACTGTTTTTATAGCGTTTTTAGGCGGCTTTTTAGGTTGTTTTAGACTGTTTTTATAGGGGTTTTAGGCCGCTTTTTAAGGTGTTTTAGACCTGTTTTTATAGCGGTTTTAGGCCGCTTTTTAGGCTTTTTTTGACTGTTTTTATAGTGGTTTTAGGCTGCTTTTTAGGGTTTTTTTGACTGTTTTTATAGCGGTTTTAGACTGCTTTTTAGGCTGTTTTGGACTGTTTTTATAGCGGTTTTAGGCCGGTTTTTAGGCTTTTCTGGACTGTTTTTATAGCGGTTTTAGGCCGGTTTTTAGGCTTTTCTGGACTGTTTTTATAGCGGTTTTTAGGCCGCTTTTTAAGCTGTTTTAGACTGTTTTTATAGCGGTTTTAAGCTGCTTTTTAGGCTGTTTTTATAGGGGTTTTAGGCTGCTTTTTAGGCTGTTTTAGACTGTTTTTATAGGGGTTTTAAGCTGCTTTTTAGGCTGTTTTAGACGGTTTTATAGGGGTTTTAGGCCGCTTTTTAGGC